AAAGTGTAAAGGGATTCCTAAGTCTGACGGGTTGAAGGAACGGGTCAACATTGGTGTTCTGAAGTCTATGATGTTCGGGACAGGGCCGTCCCAAGTTACTGCATGCGAAAGTATAACATTCAAAAGAATACAGATAACTTGACAATACAGACAGTGCCTCTTGTTCGCCGTATAGGCTGTACGTTTACCAGTCGTGCTATTGGTCGTGATTTTGTGACGTATCCGCTTGGTTATCATGGTATCCCTTTTCCTAGTATCGGCTCACTTGAATTTGAAGTTGTAAATCAGTTGCTTGAACGTTTCAATCCTGCAATGCTGACTGAGGACGTTGATGGGGAAGAATATTTTGTGCATGAATAGCTGCTAAATTTCATTGTTCTTGTCTAACACTGTACGCTTGTAATCATGTCGTCTCTGAAATCGAACAATTATGGGAAATTAAAATACGAGTTGATTACGGGGTTGTGTGTCGCTTGCGATCAGCGTCTGGATGTCTGTTGCGATAAACAAATCATTTTTAAGAGATGCACTGCTGCGTTTAAATATCTGTTCAGCTTTCTCATCAATTGTCAGTTTTTGAAAAGCGAACGTATGTGTTGCCGCGGATGTTATCGTATCGACGATCAGCATACTTGTGGCAATCGTGTCGACGATCATTGCTATAAGTCTGCTCACTTCTATGAAATTGCAAACTCCGTTGACAAGCGATTACTGCGTGAGTTGTTTATTCTTGTTGTGGAACAGTATACCGGGAAATCTGTTCAAGTCTGCGACTGCATAATGTTCTATAAGTCATTAACTGTGTGGAGATCCCAAATTCGAAAGCAGTTTCTAGATGGCACTATTCCCAAGGGGTTGATAAGCGTCTGCTAAAGATTATTCATGGAAAACTTGCTGAGAAGAATTTATTTTGACGTGGCGTCGCCGGGTGGTTACGGTGGAATACAAGCATTGCACCGAGAGGCCAGCAAGCAGAGCAATATAAAATTGTCGACGGACACCGTGAAAGAGTTCCTGCGCAAACAGCCGGCCTACACGCTACATAAACCAGTTCGCAAACACTTTCCTCGTCTCAATTTTGTTGTTTCCGGTCCTAACGAACAGTTCCAAGCGGACTTAATAGACTACAGTGCGTATGTATCTGTTAATGATGGGTATAATTTTTTGTTAGTCGTGGAAGATTGTTTTACTCGGTATGCATGGGTGGAACCGATTAAGCGGAAGACTGCCTCTGAAGTACGTGATGCTTTACAAGTAATATTTAATCGTTGTGGACCGTTTCCAAAAAAATTCCAAACCGATCTGGGAACCGAATTTTATAATACTGATGTCAAGTCTTTGTTAAATCAGCATCAAATTCTTCATTTCTCTACTAATAATGCAGAAATTAAAGCTGGCCAAGTTGAACGTCTGAATCGCACCTTATCGACTAGATTGTTCCGTTATTTTACGCATAATCGAACGAAAAGATGGATTGATGTAATTCAGAAACTCGTGGACGCATACAACAACAGCCCACATAGAAGTTTAGGATACCATAAGCCATCAGAAATAACGGCTGAAAATGCAGAAGAATTTCACAAGATCATTTACAAGGACAAAATCAAATATGCACACAAGAAACTAAGCACGGAAATTCCAAAATTAGGAGATTTTGTGCGTCTGTCTTTGAAGAAGACGGCAATGGAAAAAGGATATACTCCAGGGTGGTCAATAGAAATTTACAAAGTTAAAGCTGTTGAAGCCCATGATGGCATAACCATGTTCCGAGTGGAAGATTTGAAACGTGAAATGTTAGAAGGACGATTTTACGTTTGGGAACTGCAGAAAGTCCCAAAAAATACACCAGAGACTGCTGAAATTGCTGTTTTATCTAAGAAAGGCAACAAAGTTTTGATACGTTTTGTTGGCTGGAATAAAAAGTTCGACAAATGGATCACTTTAAGTCAACTTAAGCGGTATGGACTTCAGTTAATTTGAAAAATTCGATTTTGGTGTGCAGTGCTAAACTCACACGACTATAGCGCATCATATTGCATACCAATTTCGAATATTTAAGAATGGATGATTTCTATATCACCTTGACATCTGATAGTGGCATTGGAAACACGGCGTCGGAATTCGTTGTGCTTTTACCGAGTTATGTTCAGCTACTGCGAGAATTTGAAGTAGCACTGTGCTACTTACAGTGTCCAAAACCCCGATCGATAACTCGTGACACCTTGTGCGTGTTTAGCGACTTGGTTCGCAGCCAAGTGTTTAACAGAACACGCGTTTCTCTATTGGCTGTTTTATCTCGAAAAAGTGTTGCAGACGGAAGCGCATTCGTTCCTTCATCTTTGAAATATATCAGCGTTGAGAACACTCAGTTTGATCGCATTTCAGTCTCGATCACCAGTTTAGATGGAGAGTCTGTTGAATTTGAGAAAGGTGTTTCAGTTTTGCAATTACATTTTCGCCGTAAATAATGGATGAGATTTCAAGTTTTGCGATTCCTGCGCAAGTTTACGTGCACCTTCTTTCACCGCAACATGGCAGCGCGGTTGGACATGTGCAGCACGGATACGGTTCGCTTGGAAATTTTTTTGGCAGCCTTGCTAGGACAGCAAAAATATTATTTATCCTAATCTGGTTCGTCTGGGTAGAAACGTTGTTTCTGATGTTCTACAGAACAAGACAACGTTATTAGATTCAGCTCAAAATCGAACGAGAGAAGCTGTCGGTAATATGATGTCTGATATTCAAAAAGGGCGGGGCAAAAAGGCGCCGGAAACGCCGGACCACAAAATCAAAGCTCAAAGGTCAGCTACACGGAATCGTAATAAAGAAGCGCAGACGACGCTCGCGCAAGTCCAAGCCAGCTCCCTTTACCAAACCGAAGAAGCATTCTCATAAAAGACGTAGCCGAAAACGAAGAGTTCATAAACGTTTGCGCAAGAAGAAGCGTATGCGCGTTCCGCTTTCGGGATTATTACGCTAACTCTCACGAGAATGGATGCTAATACACCTTTGTGTTTAAAATCGGAATTGGACCATTTTTCTTTGCCGCCTACTCAAACGGCAATCGAATCCGCGAAGTATGTTTCCTATAATCCAATAGGAAATACTTTGAACGTGGATACGATTGCTTGGGAGGTTCAGGAACCCCAGAGGAAATGATAGATCTAGCAAACAGCACTATTTTACTGGATGTAACTGTTTTAACAACTGCAGGAGCCGCTCCTGCCGCTGATTTGAACTGGGGCGTCGTTAACAACTTTACACGTAGCCTATTTAGCGGACATGAACTTTTATTAAACAGTGAGACTGTTTCATCTGTTCCTTCCTTATCACATTACTCATCCTACTTCGAAAACCTATTGAATTTTGGCTCTGAAGGTCGAACACAGCTGTTAAGCTCTGGTTTTGTTTTGGACACTGCCGGAAGCTTTGACGTGAATTATATTACACTGCCTGCAGCTAATCCAAACAATCTAGTTTTGAATGATGGGTTCCTTACGCGCCGTGGCATGATCGAGGGCGGAAATTCATGGCATTTATTTATGAAATTTCCTAGTGACTTAGCGAACCAATCACGTCTTATTCCACCTAAAGTGGACTTGAAATTAGTATTGGCACGATCGAAAGACAAGTTTGCGTTGCTTTGTCCTCAAGCGCCACTTGATTTGAAAATTGTCATAAAACGGGCAACGCTTAAACTGCGCAAAGTCAAGCTGGACCCTGAGTTTTTGTTGGCTCATGAGATTATGCTTCAAAACGAAATGTAATGATTCCTTACGTGGAATCACATGTTCTCGAGATGACCATCCCATCTGGAAGCAGTCATTGGTCTCGCGACGACTTATTTCGGGGAGTCATCCCTAAGCAACTTTTCGTTGCTCTAGTTTTGTCGGAGGCCGTTGGAGGAAACTTAACTCGCAACCCGTATAATTTTCAGCCCTATGAACTGAGCCAGATTATCACTTATGTCAATTCCGAACCGTTTCCTGGGAAAGCCTTAGAGGTTTCAGCTACAAACACACGCGACGGGTACCTGAGTCTCTTGGAAACAAATGGTATGATTTACAAGAACTCAACACTGGCGTTTGATCAAAAAGATTGGGCCAAAGGTTATGCAATTTTCGGTTTTAACCTTGAACCTGATATTGGAGACCACACGTGCATAAATCCTACGAAAAAGGAGTTCTAGGATTGTCCTTATCTTTTTCGGCTCAAACGACTGCCACTCTTTCCGTATTGGTCTATTTCAATAAGAACGCCCTCGTAGAAATTGACGCACGACGGAACGTTTATTGCCCATACAAACGTGCTTAAACATGAATAATATCAAGCTTCTAGATATCGTGCAGCACGATAGCTGTCTTCAGAGAATATTCCTCGGAGTGTTCTCACGAGACACGCTACCAACCGTGTCCAGTCCAAAATTTCCGCTCGCACTGATTGTGAACTCGGACAAGCACGCGGAACCCGGACAGCACTGGCTAGCTATATTTGCTAAGAACAGTAAAATGTCGTTTTCTTTGATTCTTTTGGTAAGTCTTCTTTATTTTACGGCATGGAGTTTGACAAATTTATCTCGGAAAATTTTCCGGCTACCAATGGACATTATCAGGAGAATCGGATCCAACTCCAACATCCTCAGTCTAAACTTTGTGGTCTCTTCTCTGTATTTTTTCTTTATTACTCTTGTCGCGGTCTTACGTTACGTGAAATTGTAAATAAGTTTGAATACCCCAAAAGACTGCAATTCAATGATAAAATGCTGTATGCTTTTGCTAAGAGGAAATTGCATGTGTGTAAAAACCCTCGAAAATGTTTGAAGCATATGCCGAAAAAGCAGCAATATTCTCTGCCTATGTATAAGGTTATCTATTAAAATGCGGAAAAAGAACGTCGTTTGGTTCCGGAATTTATTTGACTCTTAAACACTTGAACACGCACGCTCCACCAGCCCGTGCGCAGTCACCGAGTCCATCCCCAGCACGCTCTGTTCAACCAGGTACTGCTGTATGCTCACGTGGAGGACGGCGTGGTCGAGCACCACGTGGAATGCGTGGATCCCACAGTACACGACCAGCTTCACCAGCCTGTGCGCAGTCACCGAGTCCATCCCCAGCACGCTCTGTTCAACCAGGTACTGTATTTTCAATTCTTGTAATGGTGTGTGCTCGTACATAACGTTAAATTTTGGACTTTGTTTAGTTCGTCGTCGTGGCACGGGTGGCGCCAAGCGCATTTGCTTGGGACGTCCTAATGGAGTGAATCCGAGCCTGCCGGCTTCCGCACTTGCCCAAACAGCTCCTGGTACATACTACACAACTACAGTACTTAGCAAACATTTATCTGTATAACTGTGATTTTATGTATTTTAGCGCCACGAAGTGCAACCCCATGGCTGGATGCGCTGGGAGGACACAGTTCTGATATGGCATTTATGCGGGAGCGTGGACGTGATGTCGCTGTCGGTCCTGTTCAGCAGCCAGCGCCTCAACTGTTGGGTGGCTTTGTCGCACCGAATGGATGCGTTGTGCAGCGTCCGATTGTGGATATGCACCCGAACAAGAACCGTGGTGGCAGACGCAAGCTGTAGTGCAATGTACTTTAAAGAAATATTGTTCACACTTGTATTTATTATGTGTACATAATACTCGTATATTTGCAGGTACATACGTGGGTCGGAGCGTGGATATGCGGATTCATCATTGCTATTTGTTAATGCATCGGTTGTGGTCATGTCATGTGTTTTTTGTTGTGCGCGTGGTGACAGGGATGATTTGTTGTTTTAGTTATGCGAGCGGTACCGGGGTTAAATGTTGTATGCGTGGCACGGGGATGTTACTCTGGGATAAAATTGTTGCATGTAGCGAACATTGTTATTGCATATGATCCATTGCGGAAGTGGTACGGGGTTCATCTTTCATGTTTTTGGTGACAAGGATAAAAGAGTGCAAATTTTTCATTAAAATTACTGTACTCGCCGCATTTTTTCATTTATACTCGTATTTTTTAACTCGTTAATTAGAAAAATGAAAATTAACCATTGTTTCCACTAATGAATTACGTAAGTTAATGAAATTAATGTAAATTACTGTACTCTATTGTTTAATTTAATTAAAAGTAATTAAAAAGTTAATTATAGGCAGGTGGTACTGTATATACAGGCAGGTGGTACTGTACGGACCCCTGGGGTGTTCCTGGCAGTGGATGTCTGTGTATTCTACTACAAATCCTAGTTTATCGAACACTCTCGCATCCGTGCTGGACAGAGCGACCTCCGTCCACTCGTCTGTGTCGGTATCGTACACTTCCATGGTTTGCGAGAGGTTACGTCTTATACTTGACCCAACGGGGACGGGACCACCAAAAATATAAATGTGCCCCTCAAAAACGAACGTTCCGTGGCGTGTACGAGGTTGTCGCAGATCACAGATTGGCTGCCAGGAGCAATCACTAATCCGCATCCGTATGCACGAGCTGAGGATCGCTCGATCGGAATCCGCTCCGCCAAAGATCTACAGATGGTCATCCAGCACGACGCTGGCAAAATGGCATCGAGGGCGCAGATCGGGCATACTGGCAATGTATTCCCATTTGCCGGTATCCGCGTTTATACGTACACCGCCTACGGTTTCCGTAGCCGGCCACTGCTGCATTTCCAGGAAGAGCAGGATATTGCCGTGACCGGCAGCGGCTAACCAGACTTCTGTGTTTCTGTAATTGCAGTAATACCGGAAGTGTTTTATGTTGTTCCAGCGGGAAAAAAATTACAGGAAGCGATAGTAAACTTTAAGTTAAGGGACCAAAACTGGCACCAGCCCAAGTGCTGTTAGAACAACGGCCACTACATTACGCTCATCGCCACCATATGCTTCATATCTTCAGTATCTCCATATCTTTTTAAAATTAGAAACATCACGAGACTTAATATAAATACGAGTACACGAAATAGAGAAAAACACGATAATAAGAAAACAAGGAAAAACACAATAAAAACAATAATATGGATTGTAAAAATCACAAAATGTAGCAGCATACAAAACTAATTTTTTCAACATTCGACATAGACCTTGCAAGAATTTTTATTCAGCATTCGACTAGCCATGCAGATGAATGTAATGCGTAATTGTTGATTTTGCCGTAATATTAATTTTAATGTTGACCAGGAATTTGTTATCTTTACGTACTCAGGTTTTCAGCACAGCTCAAACAGATAGACCAGCTGCTAGACAAGTGTGCACTTTCTGCTTGTAATACGATTTGTTTATAGTTGTAGTCGAGAAAAAAACCGTTTAGGTTGCTTACTTGTTTACAAAATTATCAAAAGAACTTGTCAGCTGGATTCTATCGTCGGCGACGGTCGCTACCCGCAAATGCCGGCACGGTTTATTTTTGCTGCAGGTCCAATAATAAATATTCTTCCCTACCACAATTGGCGGCGTTGTCCATCTGTGCACTTTAAAATCAGTCAACAGCTGCCGCCACACGCGTTCCCGCAAACTATATCCCATAAACGCCATCGGGCTATTTCCTCGGGATTCGGAAATCTTTCTGGCTTGAAAAATCACTTGACCATCAACACATAATATCGTCGATGGAACATATTCAAAACCATGCGAATGGGTCGCCATGGGTAGCTCAGATAAGGCATTCAATCGTGGCTTAAACAGCTGCATTTCTAAATGAGCGACGGACTCGTAATCACGCTCCCGTACATCGGATGCGTAGAACCGGTGAACGCAAAGGACATAGTCTTTCTCAATATCCGCAGCTTTTACAAACATAGACGCTCTTCCACAAGAACAAGCCGGAAGGTGACCTTCTGAACAATCCTGCCTGAGCGTTAGATTTTCGGATATTTCCAGTAAAGAGTTTTTACACTCGGTAGCCGTTAAACGGAAGCGAGAATCCAGAACATGGCACCGACGAATGAGGTCAGCAAACAGCTTCGGAATGCATTCGTCGATGTATGGAACAAATCCTTCGATAATCTTCATCACAAACTGACTATCTGGAGTGTTTTTCTTTAAAGTAAAACATTCAGCAGTTATCGGGTTAAATAGCAATTTTTCCTCCACGTTAAAACAACAATCTACAAGGTCATGAATTACACATCCTAAGCTCCAGACATCGGTCCTTCGTCCCGGAGCCTCACTCAGTTCCCCGGCAAATTTTCTTAGCATTTCGGGCGACATATAGCGGATGCTGCCACGTAGGTTGCTGATATCACTGGACACGGTGATACTCTGCTGGATCTGCACCAGATCATCCAAATCCGCCAACAATAAAGTCTTATGACGAAGGCAGTTGCTCTGATGTTTGATTAAAACGTTTCTCGACTTCAGATCACCGTGAATAAACCTGTTCTGGTGGAGAAATTCTAGACCATCTGCTATTTGTAATGCGTAGCAGACGATGGTCGCCTTATCCAGAAATCGTTCCCGATCTAGCATACTTGTTGGTTTCTTTTGGAGATCATTTAAAAGCAGATTTAAGTCGCCACCTGGAGCAACAATGGAAAATGTTGCTTCTGTTTTGAATCCATCTATGCAGCAAGTTTTTAGTTTCCGTTTAAAACGTTAATGGTTGAGTAAATCTTATGCTAATAAGGGTTTGTTCCACTGAAATGAAAAAGAACCGTTTAAATTATTTTGAATATTTTAAAATGATAATAATAATAAAACAACAAACCTAACATTTTTATACGAATTTATTGACAGCAAATAAAACGAGGTCGACTAATTAATTAATTAATAATTAGGTTAACTAATTAATGAATAATTTTACTGCATTTCACGGGCTTTAGTTGACTGCATTATCATTCAACATATTAGAAAAGAAAATAGAAATCGGTATTTGTTAGTATGACGCACCACTGCAATAATCCATTAAGAACTCCACGAATACTCCACCAGCCGCCTGGCTAATGGATATTTTATGGTACGCAATGAGATGTTCATGTTTAAATTCGATCAACTTCTTCCAGCGGTGGCGCAGTGATGTCCAGCTGTCGCTCAAACTGGTCAAAAGCCCTTCACGCTCTTTATCCAAGTGGACCACCTTGACCGCTACAGTTCCCTCGCCGGTAAAATTACCTCGATCCACAATACTGGCGGCATAGACGATACCGAAGGTTCCCTTACCAATATAATCGCTGGTCTTATATTGGTAGCGACAGTTACTGCCCAACTGCTGACTCTGGACTAGCTGGTTATCAACTTCCATTTTACAGTGATGCATTTAACAAATTGAGGCATCAGTGCAAACCTTTTATTAAGTGTCCCAGCGAACATAAGTTTTAGGTTAGGAAAAAATTGTAAGGTCAGAAATGGCTTGCAACAAACCGGCAAACGTCATCTGATCAGGGAAGGCTGTCCCAGCTTTGCAAAATTGGATAGATGACATCTTTACCGCATTGGTATATTCTGCAGTACTGGGATACATGTACCTGCTCCTTGCATGAGGTTAAAACAGCATTTAAAATCCCAACGGGATAAAAACCTTAAGTAGTTGCTAGTCGCTATCATTTCCCGTCCATCATGCTTAAATTGATTTCATGTCTCTCTAACACTGGCGGTTTTGTTGGTGTGTACTGTGTAATGCCAAGAACGGAATGATCCTGCATTGTTTTCGAGATAGGCACACAATGTGTCCACTGTCTCTCAGCAAAGTGAATGATAAATAAATAAATGCATTGCGGCAAGGCAGCTTGTTATTATATTGCCCGTCCTACATGGTACAAATTGCAGAAACGCCATTTTACATTTCCAAATTCACAAAGCTGCATGTTATAGCAAATGATATCGTATCTGCATAGCAATAATCTATGTACGTATTCTTGTACTTGCATAAAAAACTCGGTTTCCGGCTTGGCTTCGGTCTATTAGTGCTAGCCTAAAGCTGTGCACTTCTCTAGTTTTACTATTGCATACAGAAATTTGCTCATATTTCATAAATATATAATTATATGAACTTTACGCAATTGCGCTTTTCATGGATAGCAAATTGCATGTGAGTTCATGCAGCCACTGCCAGCCAGAGTTTCCGGGTACATGTATTAAGAAGCGTCTCACTATCTGCGCGCGCAAACGATACAGTATGAAGTGCCTTCAAAAATCTGTCCGTATTTATTTTGCCGGTTTGTTGTATTATTACCGCACCCATTTAAACGGCGCATCTTGCACAGGTACTTGTTAGTTGTAAGCAACAATTTACAATTGTAACGATACGATCTACATAATCACGATTTACGACAAGAGCAATGGAAACTGCATTGGTCGCTGAACTGAAGCTGTTCTTGAGATGGAAAATATGGCTGCAGGCATCGGCCACCGTTCTGAGTCATACCGGCAAAACGTAATCATAATAAACAAACCGAAGTCATGTAATTAGTAGCAGCTCAAAAGAGCATTAGAAAGATACAAATATCAGAATGCTAGTCACAGTTTCTGAAAAAAAGGAGAATACCGCGGTGTAGTTAATTATACGAGTATTTGACACTGACACTTAACAAGTCTTTTTAATAGAAAATACATGGATTAAACAACCTTCCGCACGAAAATAAATGGAAAAGTAATATATCCACCTCACAATTAACAATTCGCTGCAAAAACTTTAATGCTTAGACGTTGTTACGTAGTATACGAAATGTCAATGTTAATGAACATTAGACCAATGTGTAGAAATCCATTTGGACATGTCCCAAATACTGCAAAACAAGCTCATCGCGTGTTTCGCACAGATTACAGCTCCGTTCATGACTTTCGCGAAACTTAATTACCTTGTCTCGCATGTCAGCGTCTCGAAGCACCGTCACGTGCGGGCTAAATTACTTGTTTTCACGACACACTTTCGGTTTTCCGTGCATTTTTTAAATTTTTCTCCAGAAAAAATGTATGTACGGCGCCGATAACGTGCGGCTGTATGGCGCCACGGATTGTCATTTGTAAGAGATTTTGGCGGCCAACTCCCTCCTCCAGCACGCCGTACCGGCATGGTAGCCGGCACTTCCTTGTGGTGGCCGGTTTTCCATCCAATCAGATCAGCGTGAGAAATGATTCGTAATTATTCTCCTGCAGTTATTTGTTGTGCTTCCTCGGCTTCTGACAACATTCCAAGATATTATTAATCACCTGGATTACTGAAACTTTTTCACGAGGCGACTGATATATAAGCGTCCGCTAATGGTGTGTTGTTTGTTATTTTTTAAAAATATTTGTACCGGATAAACTCTGCGCATTAGACGAAAATGTACTCCGCAGCGGTTATTGCTCTCAGCGCGGCAGTGTTCCTTTGTGTGTATAACGTTCCCTCGGCGTATGGCCAGGTAAGCTGAGATTTACTTAATCGTAAACACTGCTTAATGCGTATACAGTATACTACAGAAAACAATAACCGTATATAAAATTTAAACAATAACCGTATATAAAATTTAAATTTTGTAAGTTTAAAATAGAATTTAATTATTAAAAATAAGTAGTGAAGTAAATAATAATTATTAAGTATAAATAAATGGCTTCGAATTTGTTACTGGAAGCAATTGCTTAACATATTTAAAATAAAGGCGCAAATTAAAAAAAACATTTGAGACATGTTGATAGTCCCGGATTAGTACGTAATTATTTATCATCTTAAAGATTAATCTATTAAATCAATTTGTGTCATAAAATGATGCCGTTGTTATCATTATTTATTTATTTTATATATTATTATTTATTTAATATATATTTATTTAATATATTTTATATATTACTGCACCTTTTATATAGAGCCATTGATTTTTAAGTGGAATATGTCGCCATGTCCTAATCTTATTTTTTTCCAGAATGAGCTTTTGAACAACATCAGTTTAGCCAATGCCAACGCCTCCTCATCTGGAGCAGCAGCCGATGCCAGCAACGCCTCGGCACCCGCCACACCTGCCACCGCCGTCCTGACCGCCCCCTCGGGCAGCAGTAGTGATGTGGCCGGCAACCTGACCTCCGCCATAAGCAACGTGCCGCTTAACGTCTCCTCTAGCCTTCCCGAAGCCTCCAATGCTTCATCCAGTGTTTCTGCGGCATCCTCCAGTTCCGCGGCTTCTAACGGCTCATCGGCCGAACCAACGGTCGTCAAAAGTGATTCCAACTCTTCCGCTCCTGCGGCTGCCGTAGCGACATCTGCCGAGCCGACGCCAAAAGACAGCTTGAACGCTTCGGCCGCCGCTGTTCCCGTCGTCGCTCCCGACGCAGCGGCCTCTTCCCAGAACGCCTCCTCTTCCGCGGCTGCTCCTGCAGAGTCCGCTGCTTCATCCCAGAATGCTTCCTCTGCGTCGGCTTCCGGTTCGGCATCCAACGCTTCTTCTTCCGTTGGTGCTCCTGTGGAAGCTCCTGTTTCTTCCCAGAACGCCTCCTCTTCGGCCGCCGCTCCTGTAGAAGTCCCTACCGCTTCCCAGAATGCCTCCTCCGCGTCGACTTCCGGCTCGGCATCCAACGCTTCCTCGGCAGCTGCTCCCGTGGAAGTGGGTACTCCCGTGGTGGGCGTGGCCCAGAATGCGTCAGCCGCCGCGGAGAGCAGTGCGCCGTCCAGTATTCCCAGTGCCCCTGTTGTTTCCAGTGGAGTGGGCGAAGCGGTGGCGGCCAATGTAAGTCAGCCGGTGAGTGGCACGGAACTCAGCGCGCTCTTTGGGCCGCGGGCGGCCGAAGGTGCCAGCCAGAACGCCACGGTGGTTGGTTCCGCGTCCAACGCCACTCTGCCCGCTAACACCACTCTTTTCGCGTAAAAGCGGAAGGAACGTATGCTCTAGTTGTGATGTAATCCTACATGTATGGCACCATGCGGCACTTTTGCCGTTTTTCCGGCTCGCGTACATTATTATAGTCGGTGGTAAATGTTAGCGTTGCGCTTCTTATACTTGTACTGTAACTGTAAGCGCTGACCATTATTAAAATTGATTGTTGACTGTTGCGCTCTGTGTTATTTTACTATCCGCGCTAGTAGAATAACTTGCATTTATTATCTGTTGCGTAAGATTCATGACTTCAGAATTATATTTAGAATTAATTTTGGTGAAACCACAACCCCGTGGAGATTAATTCCGGCACCTAAGTTTTTCGCAGCATGCTTAATAGATGTTCCTGTAATATAGCTAATGTTATTCTTTAAACTTTTCTGGCTTGTTTTGCTGCGCCTGTACAGATATATCGACATGTAATGGCACATCTTCAAAACGATTCAAGCGGGAAAAAATGTTATAAACGGTACTTCCAATTTTAACTGATCCATAATTACGTGAAGAGTAACCACTCGGATCCACGTACGGAGCCGAATTTTCTGCCCGTTAAAATTATAATTAAGAGAAACGGCAGAGTAGTGAGTAATGTTCAACGGCAGAGTTCAACACTGTTGGTCAGGTAAATCTGATTAAGTTAGTACCTAGTACAGGTAGCAGTTGAATTGGGCTCATGAACGTTTTGAGTCCACTGAGAGATACAGTGTCTTTCCGTCGCATTGGCGGTATGCAGTGGCGCCCATATTTTTGTTCGTAACGTTCTAACATTTCCACAAATCTACATTCTACGCATTATTTTATCCACAACTTTCGCAAATATCGGCGTTTCGAGCATATACCGTAACCGAACAAGCAAAGACCGTAAGTATTAAGTACGTAAAAGCGAAACTTGGTGTCCATTTGGTTTGTATTTTTAATTAAGCTTAGTAATTTTTCACTGTGAAATTGCTTTACTCGCATACGGTATGTGATAACTGAATTAATAATTATACGCCGAGATAGTCACTGTACGAGTAGTGCATGTAAAATCTCGTTGTACATAACACATATTATGTAGTTCAGCGATAAAATGGCTGGGCGCAGCAAAATACAATGTCATGTGATCGGCAGATACAATTAAACTGTGCAGCCGATACTGTTGTAATTTATCGCTTACAACAATTAAAACTTATATCGTTTGCGTGAATTGTGTGATACGAGTACAACTCGCATTTTTACAGTAGATAATATGGTCACTGGTGTGAACAGAAAGTGTCCCGGCCATACATACACCGTTGGCTGGCGCGACATGGCGCTAATTAAACAGCATGCACATACACCGAGCAATGAGAGCATAATTACCGGCATGTTAATCATCGAGTGTTTCGAACATACCCCGAACAAGCAAAGACCATAAGTATTAAGTAGGTAAAAGCGGAAATGGTAACCACTGATAATACAAGGCAATATAATAAGTACTTACTAATAATTATCAGCGTATCAGAAATCTCAACTTATTGAAATTTTGTACGGTATGACCGTATGAACGGTGCTGTGCCGTGCACTTATAATATACAGTGTACTGGCACTCGTGCTGAAGTAGGAGTAATTACTATCCGTAAAATTAATAATTAACTTAAGGCTAGTAAACTGTACCGTATGTGAATCGTAATTGCGCTCGTACGATTTAAGCAAATGGTCGCCACTCCCATTACCCACGGTTCGCACGTCGACGCTGCACTGTATGATGATCTTGCAAGCCCCGAATATAAAATATTTCAAACAAGAATCGCAAATGTACATACCTAGTCGTATATAAACGCATGTTACATGTATCGTAATAAAATCAAAACCGGCAAAATTTGGAGGAAAAGTGGCACATTGGGTTACAGCCTACAGCGCGCATTGCTGTAGATTTTGCCCACTTTTATTAGGGGTCATTCCCGAAACCGGCAGCTAAGCAAATTTCGATGATGATTATGTTTGTAAACCGTTTAAGTAAACAGTATTTCTAATGAAGATGGCCGTAGAACTGGAAGTGGAGCACGAGATATTTGGCAGTGGACTGGAGTATCACTATGATGCCACCAATTACATCGCCCGAGGAACTTTCGGTCTTGTTTACAAAGCAACCATTACCGAGCGTCACGATTATATTGGTGAGGCCATTGTGGCGGTCAAAGTGATCCAGCTCCGAAGTGATTCCGCAGTTTTTGAAAACAGAGACAAATGGATGAGATGGCGAACCCGACTACAAAGCCTCCTTAGTTTGGGACATGAGTATCTTGTGCCATACCACCAAATTAGCATCATTCAGGAGCCTAGAAGGATGCCAGTCGTGACAATCGTGATGGATTATTATTGCGGTAAGCAAAGCCAATAAAGTTTTAATTTTTGTTTTACAATGTTTACTTCTTTTCCTCGGCTTTGCCTTATTGAGACAATGCGGTGGAAGTGCCGGTGGGACTAACTTCAACGTTTTTTACGCCATGGTTTATGCAAAATCAACCAGCTATTTAAGTTTTTATGTATTCGGGAGTTGAAACTATATAGAATTATAGGAGTTTTGAATTTTTGAGTCCAGAGCGGCGACTGTATTATACGGTAACCTACAGATGTGATAACGACGGTAGTGCGGTAGTGATGCTGCCATAAGCGGCAATGGTAGGAAGTAAGGTTTTGCTAATGGTGGCAGAACAACAGTGACTACCTGACTTTATGCGATCGTACCATGCAGATAACCTTTATTGGTGGCTGTATGGTTCTGTCACGTTCTTTGCGAAATTATGCAAAGTTTATGATAAGATAAATATTAAAATTTCTCGGAACTTGTACTTAAGTACTACGGGTAATATAAAAATATGTAATATGCGGAGATGACGGTAACCCTGGCACGTGGCATACACGGTATTGATGGTGCTCTAGGTAATTATATTTGGATATTCTATGAATTCGGCTGCACTCCCTCTCCGTATCTCTACCCCGGCTACATATGTACGGCCACAAAAATTTTTTAAATATCTAGCAGAACTCTCGCACAGCACGCGGAGTACTTGGTTTGTACTTTTTTCTCAAGCCCCGTGGATTTTTCAGGCTTTCAAGTTTGTGCTACGCGTAGGCTATATTAAATTAACATAAACCTTTTGATTACAGAGTAGATTAGTTTTTTTTTCATTCGTGGTCACGGAGTAGAGTAGCAGTTCTACCAGTTCTTAACCTTTTTTCATACGTAGTTTTTAATTAGGAAGAAGTTTCAACTTTCAACATACCTATGTAAACTTGGAAAATACGCCAAAATTGGGTACCGGCAGACCGGAGCGCAGCTCTCGTGGCTAGGGCTGGAGATCTTTAAAGGCAGGTTTCAGTTACCATAAAACTGATAACCTCATATATATGGAAACACTGCTTATGGTGCGTCATCTTTTATGCCTTTATCTGTGTGCATAACATCCATGGACGGGGAATGCTAGCTAGACCCAGACCCGCAATCAGACATTTCTACTGAGCGTAACAATCTGATTAGCGCAACAATTGTATCGTGATTGCGTATACAACGTACGGATGCCGTATTTCCCGCAATTAACTTTCAATGGCAGCCGCGCAGTCACCATAATCAGAAAACGGCAGTTCGCGGCGCTTTAGCAAGAGCGTTTCTTATGGCAGATACAGTTATACAAAATAGGGAAATTTACTTTAAGAGTGCTCTTTGCACCAAATAGAATTCATCCTTGACATCCAATGCGTAATGCGAGTTAAACAGCTGCCAGCCACCAACACTTGGTTGCCGAACATGGGAGCGCAATGCGAACATCTCGCTCGACATTGTCCACTTTGGCTATTTGAATTAGACCATCGAACCTAACACTCCTTTGCATGCGCAGCCCCACCAGAGCGAGGCTACTGAACGTGCGACAAAGCGTATTCTGGGCTACCTTCGGGATATGTACCTCCGTGCGCGGTTCGGTTGGAGAATAGCTAAAAGTGATACCGTGCTCAATCAGCACTCAATTACAGTTAAATTACACAGCAGACAACCAATTAACTGCAGACAAGAAGTATTCCGTTCGTTGAGGATGGCGAAGTACGCTCACATAATACACAACGTATGCGTTAAGTAAACCGACTAACAAAGCAGCTGTTATTTAACAATCTCAGTAATTTTAATTTAAACCAAACGAGTACATGGTTTAAGAAACAGCTAAATAAACAAGAGCTCATTAAAGATTTTCGCTTTTTCTGCGGTGCCCAAAACAGAGGCGGCGTTGCCGCGTTGTATCTCAAGAGACAGTCGCTGCCGAAGAAATTCGAGACTGCGGACTTCTCCTGAAGGGGTCCGTAAACGCTTTCCCAATTCTTTGATGATGGCAATGGCTGACGGTCCCCAAGGGCCCATTGTCTCAAAAGCGATGGGCGCGAAAATGTAACGACCAACCAAATAAGAGTATAAACTGGTCTTCTTTTCCTCTGCCTGAACGGCGGCCGATCACGCGTTTGCCGATGTAGATTTGATTGATGTGGGAAGCGGCAACCGTATCAACACAACTGACATCCCATGCCAGCTGTTATTTTAGTCCAACAACGTATGTATCGAACAGTTAGTCCAATGGCGTACCCCTATATTACGCATATGGTGAGGCAACTGTAGTCTGTAGAGGCTGAGATTTCATATCTCGCTTCTTAAAGGTCAGATTTGTTAACCCCATGCATGCGTTACTGGTCGATCTCCCGCATGTTAACACTGTTACTGTGAAGAATAGCCTCACTAGCTTTTTTTAATCATTGTTATAGCTACATTAATTATTTTGCAGGTGGGGATCTTGCATCGCTCATTAGACAACTAAACCGCGACGCCACGCCCCTGGATTACCTTACTGCCATTGGCTACGCATTGGAGATCGCCGACGGGCTGAGCTATCTCCACCGAAGAGGCATCATCCATGGGGATATGAAACCTGGGAATATTCTAATCAAAAACCTCAGAAACGGCCAAAAGAAGGTATCCATAGCAGACTTGGACGATCTCGTTCAAATGCAAGACAGCGTAACTTGTTCCGGGGATATTTCTCACCTGCGTGGCACCGTTCGCTACATGTCACCCGAAATGTTAAGAAAGTTTGCTGCTGCCTCGGATGTACAAGAAAACACTCCCGGACGCAAAACCGATGTCTGGAGTCTGGGTTGTATTATGCTGGAATTAGGTGACTGTGTGTTCCCTGCCGCAAGCAGAAAGAAACAACTATATCGGGAAAATAGTAACAGCACCATTAAAGAAACCGTGGAAGCGGGGCATGAAATAGCTGATACCCGCTTTATGCATCTGGTTATCGAAGGCTATATCCCACTTGTTGCGGAATCGATTCCTCCGGACTTCGCGCAGTGCATCCGACGCTGCTTATGCAGAAATACCGGGATCCGAATATCCTCGATTCAGCTTCTACAGGAGCTATGCAGCGTTGAACGTCGACTTTTATCCGAAGCCGAACACGAGCGGCACGCCACCGGCGTATTCCACTTCAACCGCGATCTGAATCAGTCCAATCAGTTTGACGCCGTTCTAATTCGTTTTGATCCGAAAACATTCACTGTAAAATCATCGCCTTTACCGGAGAATGTTCGAGGGAAAAGGTTGTTGTGTGCTTTTCCGGGTCCGGAAAAGACTGTTGTTCTGCAGGTAAAAGAGAAGGCTGACACGGTGCGCCAAACGTCTTTGTATTTATGGGATCCGGGCAAAAACTCCGTCTGTCGTGTGAGGCTAACAGTCCGCGTAAACCTTCCGGTTACGGTTGAAAATAAGATTTTCTTTTGGCGCTACGACCCCGTTGTTTTTCGAGCAATTGATATTCCCGATGGAAATCTGCTCACAAAGCTCGCTCCACAGCGGTAAGAAAAAGACCGGAACATGAACTGGTACATGAGGCGGGTTAGAACTTAGAATGAAAACCTTAATAATTTAAGCTGTGTCCTTGCACATTACTGTACTGCTGTGGTTTACGTTATGGCTGCACACTGCACATAAGAGCGATTCACATAAAACGCTGTTCAGATACGAAATAAATCACCAGCTGGTCATCGGCAGTACAGGGAAACGACTCAAAGCGCTTGGCTTTCCAGTGATTTTTCACCATTTCTTAACTTATTTTACAGCAGGCCTTCGTATGCAAGTTTTACTCATACTTGCCCAGAAGAAAGTCGAGCCCTATGGTCAATAGTCAGTATTTAGCGGTCTATGGCCTGTGGTTTATGATACGGTTCTTGTTTTTTTCCAGAATTAAAAAAGTGGAGAATGGCACACGACTCGAGGAAAAGCTATTTTTCATTGGATTCGAACGCCGCAACCGGTGGACAATGTTTGTTGAATGCTACGATACGGTCGGTGATCGGTGGGAAACATTTCCCGATTTCCCAGGGCGCCGGCAAGATTTCGCCGTTGGGCGCCGGGAAGAATTTGCCATGGTTGCGCTACGAGAGTACGTCTACGTTTTGGGAGGACGAGCAATTAATCGAAATAACAGCCGGTCGGAAGGTGCGTTATCATCGTGCTTCCGCCTGAACGTCATCACGCGGCAATGGGAACCCGTCCAACCCTTTGTGCAGCCACGGCGCAAGCACTGCGCCTTTGTTTGGGGAGACTGTATATACATCGTCGGCGGCGTGAACACACGCGGAAGTTACGAAAATTCTGTGGAAGTTCATAACACAACACGCGGTACTCCATGGCGACCTACAGCATTTGCGGTTGGCGATGAAACGGTGGATGGAGTAATGTCTTCGTTATCTCGTCGTACGTACATCGGCACCACTTCTGCGCCACTACTTTAGTCCAAAACTACCTAAACAGGATCCACGGGAATATGGACAATCTGGTAACTCTTTCCTGAATCTTTGTTACCAAAAACTTTTTTTAATTTATTCATGAAGAAAAGAATATTGCTTGCTCTACATGCGCAGATTTATGTACGAGTATACAGTATTTGGTTCTTTTTCGGTCTTTGTCGATTTTGGATCTGTGCTTGGTATTTTTGTTATCTGCAGAGTCGTAAAAAATAGATTTTAACTATGTCACAGTTAATTACTATTTACTGGTGTCTTGGTGTACTTGGGGAAATTTATGTCCGCTTTTAGCTTTTAAAGGAGTTACTGTATTTTGTTACTCAGGGATTTTGTTTAAAGATTTTTATTATTTGACCAGGAAATTATCAGTCTTAATAAAATACCTAATTCGTAGTTTTGTTATTTCTTGGCCTCTTATGTTCGCTTGACACAGGATAGTACTTTTTCTCCCAGGTACGATGGCTGACGTAATCGCTTGCTTATTGTGCAAATGTAAACGTTAATTCCAAAATACAACACAAGACGATTTCGTTCTTCGCAATTAAATAATTATGTGGCCACAACATCCACATCCTCGCATCATCTTTCATCTGGTTCACAACCTTCTGCACTATCTTTTACTTCGTGCAATACCTTTATTTTGCAGGCACTACTTTGTGTACCATTCATTCCATATTTCCATTCACCATGTTTTAGGTTTTCTGCTTTTAGGTTCTCCTGTTGGCAAAAGTGGGAGAAAACTTTGCGATTTGTTTCCTGCAATTCTCACAATTCAAAAGATTACTTAATCGTATTTTATACGAGAATACTGTACACCCAAATTCAAATTGGTTCCGGAGACAGCATAAATGGGATTTTGTGCATTATTTACTGGAAGTGACACCGTTATTTTAGGGAAAATTTACAGGATACATTTTAAAGAAACTGGATCGCTTTAGAACTTTTTAATTTTAAAACAAACATCTGCTGCGAAAACTAAGACAAAATAAAAACGAATCGGTTTCGCAGTTCACGATGTAAAACGGTTACGTAGCCGGTACCGGGTGTAAAGGCTCTGCTAAGAAGTTTTGCTAAAAGTACTATTAACTAGTAAGTGTAGGGAGTGCGAGGTGGTGTTAAAGGGGATAAGAATAAAACCTGGGATTGGGAACTGGGAATTGGTATTGGGAATTGGTAATGGGAATGGACTGGTATTGGAATTGCACTTTATTTATGGGAATGGTATTGCATTGTGGGAATGGGAATGGGCAAACAACTGCCAAAAATTCCACCCAAATGGTTCGCAGCAAAATTCTCATATACGCATTGTACATACACGCAAACTGTTCACTAATTTTAGTGGTAACTGGAAAATGATGAAATCTGTATAACTAAAGCTAAATAAATATTGTTATACCGTAGTTTTAGCTTAAAATCTTGATAGTCTTTGAATTCTGCAATTAAGTTTTTATCCGCTCCTATATATCGCGAAATCTGCGCGGGGCGAGCTGTTTAAAAAACAGGTGATTGCTATGCGCCTCGACAAACCGGGCGCAAAGTATATGGCTATGCGTCCCGATGTCCGGGCGCACAGAATCTGGCTTTGCGCCCCGATTTTCCGGGCGCAGACATATCGACAACTTGTTGTTTTTGAACGGTTTTTTATACGTGTGTTATTCATTGGCTTCTTTCATTTATTTAACCGCTCATTTTTCTTGTTGTACCGTATTGTCGGATATCTATGTATATTTCTTGAGGAGGTAAGATATCAGAATGCACCCAAACTTTAGGTGACATGCTGTCATTGGTATAGTATTGCTACATAATTATATGACCATCGAAGCGTTTAAAATAGAGCAGCTAAAAGTTATTTATAGCTGCCCTTTAATGGTTGCCATCACACAATAAGGACCAATGCACTGGTTGCGTATGAATCATCATAGTATTCTTATTTTCTATTGTCACACCCGAGCCACATCCCATTTTAAATAACGCTCTAGATCTTTCTTAATTGTTCTTATGCTGATTTTACCTTCTGTCCCTGATGCCTAGAAGTATATAAGCAGCACTGCGATGCTGCCAAATGCGCTCTGTTCATTTGGACTTTTCATCAGTAAAGAGTTGCCACCAGCTGCTGCTACAGTATATAAAACAGTTATAACTCTCTACATAAAACAGTTATAAAAGTTCGATTAGTTCAACCGGAAGAGAATTGCCGCTCATTTTTGTGTTGTGCAAATTGAGCGGGTTCTCCTAAGTTGTCTAAATTACTGTATTCGATTGGATATAGCCCAATTTTGGTAGGGTCAATAAATTTACAAATTGCAATTGGTATACAACATGTAAAACAGCTCAAAAATACGAAAATTGTGTCCGTGTGCATATACCGTATCTCGTTAAGTATCTCCAAGGACGTACTCTGTACTTTGTTACAACTACGAGTATAACTATGATTTTATTATGTAACACTGTACGTAGTATTTCCCATTCCCACAAGGAAATACCATTCCCATAAATAAAACGCAATCCCAATACCAATCCCATTCCCAGTACCAATTCCTAGTACCAATTCCCAATCCCAGGTTTTATTCTTACTCTGTTAAAGGTCCTAAACAGAGTGGTCGCTAAAACTGATTCGTTATTCCCACGCATCTTGGGTTTACCAAAGGGCTGTTAAAGCAGTTAAAGGATAATCTGGATTTTTTAAATTGGACCTGTTTGGAAATGTTTGGAAATGTTGGAAATTACTTGTTTGTAATACGTTTTCTTATACGTTTTTTCGTGCTTATTCTTCTGTTATTCTCAGGTTATTCTTAGGTTTCTTATGATTCCTACTTAGGTTTCTTAGGTTTGTTCCTTAGGTTCCTCTTAGGATTTTTAGGTTTTATTGAACCAGTGAACTTTCTAGCCGCAGAAATGGTAAAATCAATAAGCCCAAAGGCACAACAGTATGGCGTCTTTCGACTCATTTTTGGCGATGGCCTTAAGGCAGGAAAAGTTCATGAAAAGAAGGTAGCATACAATGCTTTTATAGACCCATCTACCATTAGTTTTGCAGCTTTCATAAGCTTTTTTGGCTAAAAGTTTCTCGGTTTTTTATAACCCAAGAAATTTAAAAAATCTAAGAAACCTAACAAACCTTAGAAATCTAAGAAAACCTAGGACACCTAAGAAATTTAGGAATTATAAGAAAACTAAGAATAACCTGGGAATAACACAGGAATAATCACGAGAAAGCAGTGTAAGAAAACGCAATTTAAGCTCATAAATAAGTAGTCCAAGTTTGGAAATCCACGTTATCCAAGTTAAGTAAGTAATCAAAGTTGAGTATTCCAAGATAGGTAATCCATTTTATGAAATCTAAGTCAAGGGATCCAAGTCCATGTTTGAGTAATCCAAATCCAGTTTTGAGTAATCCAACTTCGAATTCGAATCCATGGTTCACCGCGGGCCCGCTTCTTACAGTGCACACTGTACGCACTACGCAGTAATTACTCGTATTATGATGATTGGTAAAGTGGTTGCTCGGGTTAATGAAGTGGGCCGGTACACGGTACCAAATTCGTGTACCTGCACGAAAACTTTTACTTTCGCGCACTCCCAAACACTTTGTTTCGGTTTATCAAATTCTGTAGCCAGAAGATCTGTATACACTGGCGTGAAACCGTTTGTGCGCGCAACATCCGGTTCGGGAGTAATGGTTGTTAGAAAATTCCAAAAAGTTTAATTTATGCGTATACCAAATTTCTCATTATGGACCGGTCTCTCTCGAATTTTGCACGTACAGATGCACATAACCACGAAGATCGTTTTTCCACCGATCCAGACATCCTTGATTTTTTTCAAATTTTAAAATTTTTTGAAATGTGTTTTAAAGTTTGGAAAACATGCTAGAGAAGTGGATCGGTGTAAAAACGTTCTTCGTGGTTATGTGCATTTAGGTGCAACATTTGTGGGGGAACGGTCCATAATGAAACTTTTGGTACACCCGAACGCATTCAAACTTTTTTGGAATTTTTTACAGCCATAACTCCCGAATCGGATGTTGCGTGTACAAACGGTTTTCACGCCAGTGTATACAAATCTTCTGGCTTCAAAACGTCATAAACCGAAACAAAAAAGAGTTTGGGAGTGCGCGAAAGTAAAAGTTTTCGTGCATGTACACGAATTCGGCGCCATGTACCGGGCCATTTCCCTTAAGCAACATTGGGTCATCAAAAAGAAAGTTAGTTTGCGCAAATCTATCCATTATTTTTACAGAGGCACTGATAATAAATTCTTATACAGAAATACCGAAGAAGCGGAACCATAATTCAAAGTAACTATTAACACCAAACTCGCACGTTCTTAACGTAAAAAACTTAATACGAGTATTTCGCTCAAAATTTAACTAACCGACATTAAAGTAGCTTGTACTGATTGTACTGCATTTTCTTAAAGAACAAGTTTTTAAGGTACGTATGTCACACTCAGACTGCTTTAATATCTTATGGAAAATCGCCGTAATTTATAAAACACCTTTACAAACCCGAAGTTAATGATTGATAGGAGTTATCGAAGCAGGAAACAGAAACGACAAAGGAACCTGAAAATGAGACTAAACGAAGTAGGAACAGCTGCTCCGAATGGCCTGTCAAATTGATAAGATGCGATAGATAAGTAAACAATAATGTCAGAGGTAGCCGAACAGAGAAATTATGTCATCGCTCATACATCCAGGGTGTAAAAATTCTCTTGCATATATTGCGAGGGTCAGAAATTTTCGAGTGAACCGGTAAATCTGCCGTCTGCGCTATTATGCGCTAATATTAAAACTGGATCCAGTTTTCAATATTAAAAAATAGCTACATGTATCGGTCTAAAAAAATGTAACGATCAGTCGATCACTGTCAGTAACACAAGGTGTCACAAGTAATGCTTAAAACATTGAAGCCATAAAGTGAAAAGTGTGCAGTCTAATTTCCCTCCTTGATAGGCCAGAGTGCGCAGTTGATAATCTCAGTATCAGTCACGAACTACAGTAATAGGACTTTGTAGTGTATGACTGTACGTATTGGTACAGCGACGTACGAGTGCAAAGTATCTCGTGAATTGTTGTCCTGTGGCTATGGCTAATGTGCCGTAGCAACGGCGTACCTATTGTCCATTGTTGTCGCCTTGTTTAGCGATCAGTTGGTTGGTTGGCTCGGTAGCGAGCAGTTGTATTAATAAAGTATACACCGCCGCTACATACATCACAGACTTTAAGCTAATTTGCTTTAAGCGTTAGTTTGCTAATCTCATTTGTGCACATGGATAGAATAATGGTATTTCATTCATGCGCTGTTGACACACTATATCAGATCGGTCGAAGGTCGTGCCGGCGTTCTGGCGAGAAACGTCATCGCGTTAATGGGTATTTAGTGCTATTACGGACAAATTTTGGCACTATAAATAAATAATCCACTGTTTGAATGCAACATTAATCTGGCAGTCGCCTGACACCGGGTATTTTACAATTTATGAAACTTCACATGTTGATTGTCTCCATGTAATGGTCTGGTGTGGATACAGTAAAATTAAGGAACGAATTTCCACGGGTTCGGGCCCGCGGAAAGGATTTGGAAAGGAAATTACCATGGATTTCCATGGATTCCGTGGATTTACGGAAATCCAAATGGATTTCCGTAAATCCAAGGATTTTACGATTTTCGTTGGAAAACGATTTTTTAGCTTTATTTTCACATACATGTAGATAGCTATCCAGCGTAACTCGGCTACCAATTAAACACTATTTCAGTTATTGCCATCTAGTTGTCCGCTGCAGCTTCATAGTTTCAGCATGAAAGTACCCTGCTTTTGCCAGACCACGAAACCGGTTGTACTTGTTGAAACATGGAAGCTTATTAACGACTTATCACTAGATACAAATTTACGTAGCTGACTTGTGAATTTACTTTACTAAAACACTAATTACTGAAATAAAACAGTTTAAAAGTGAAAAAATCATACTAAAATAATACACAAAAATCTAATATTAATTTTTATAAACGAAAGCGGTTTGTTTATGCCGTAGATCCGATATTAGAATGCAAATTTCACCCTCGTATGCCATTTGGTTTGGTACAGCACCTTACAAGTTAATTACGGTGAGAAAAACAACACTTTTATAACAAAAAGCTCTCACCCAGCTGATCGGCTTCGAGATCTTGTATGCAAGTGATAGATAAATCACATACAGTAACATTAATGTTTTCCAAATTATTATTAGTGCGCTACATGTCTAATCATTAGCACCGGGTGGGCGACAGTGAGGCACATTATTTTCATTTTTGCACTCATTGAATGCTAGTGCGCTGGAATTTTCTGTCGCAGCATTATAAACAATGCATCACGTTTTGTTTCCATGCCGCCAAAACAATTGAAAACTGCTGAAAATGACATTGGTTTTATGGCAAAAATGTGAAAAAAGTGAGAAACTGCCGGCTTAGTTTCGATAATTTCGTAAGTTTTCGTACGTTTGGAAATCCAAATACAGAAATTTGGATTTCCATTCGAAAAGTGGAATTCCACGGATTTCCTAAATTCCGTTTTCCAAATCCAAGCAAGTCGCCTGGATCGCGGATTTGGAAAACGGAATTCCACCGTGGGATTCCATTTTCCGTGGATCTTCGTTCCTTAAGTAAAATGAACAGTCGATTGGCATCTGAGCTTGCAACGTTCGGCAGCGGGCTGCGGTATCGTTATAACGTCGAGACGGATTACATTTCCCGAGGAACATTTGGTTCTGTGTACAAAGCAAACATCACCCATCGGCATGATTACACCGGAAAAGAGACCACAGTAGCGGTTAAAATCATCCAGCTTCCCAGTGATTCGGAGATTTTGGAGAGATCTGATAAATGGAGGAGGTGGCAGACCCGGCTGCAAAGTCTCCTCAGCTTGCAGCATGAGCATCTTGTAGCCTACCATCAAATCAGCATTATGCATGAGGCGGAGAGAACCTCGGTTGTGAAGATTATAATGGATTACCACTGCGGTAAGCGTAAATAGTGTCGTCGCTGTTTTGTGTGGTTGCGCAATGGCTCACGCATCTGTTTAACCAGCAGTGCAGTGACTTCTTGAGCGGACACCCGCAGCTGATAACGCGAGAAACAGTGTTTCAAATCCCGACCCAAATACCATAAAGTAGAACGGTACTGGCACTTGACAAAATCTAATCAGAAATTTTCCAAATAATCTTTGTAACTTTTAAGCTTTTGGCAAAAGTTTTTCTGATTTTTTTTGCTTTTGCTTTTTTTATGGTAAGAATGGATTCTGCGGTCATGTGGGTTTTTCGGCGATACCATGTATTCATTCATTGCTGCAGTCCGTGCTTTTAACCTCAGGACAGCTGTGTTTTTTTTGCAAACTGTTTTTTTTTAACACTGAAAATGAAGGGTGTGATCGGCTGCGGGTTTTTCGTTCGGATTCGCAGTGAGCAACGTAGGACTAAAAGAATGGAAATCGGTCCGCGGTTCGGTGCACAGAATCGGTACATACTGGCTACTGCCAGGGCTCGTATGGAATTGGTGGGTCCCAGCATGCAAATCGACGCGCTGTATTCTAGGCAATTTCTAGCCTATACTAAGCAGGGCGCCATCCGAAGGAAGCCCAGAAACGGCCGAAAAATGCCCCGATGGGGGAATCGAACTCCGGCTACGTCGTGAGATCCGCGTAGACACTACGACTGCCCCACGGCGCAAAGTGTTGAAAATTCCATTGAGACTTTGTCGCTGTACAATACGTGATCCGCTTCTCTCCTTTCACTATGATATCATGTTTCCAAGGCTGAAGTCGCATCGTATCATCGTATGCCATTATTTATAAATTTATTGTGCATACAGCACCAGTATATGAAATACATGACAGGTTTCCGGCTAATTTCAAATCTGCAGTGCCGTTTGCGGTCACGCGATTTCATCGTATTTGTTTCTAGTCTATGGCGTTGTTGATAAGATAAGTGTTTAGCTATATAATAATAATTTACAACAAACATTGAGGGACACCCATTCATAAGTCTAATATGGCACGCGATCGCCGGCATGCTTTTGCATTCAGTACATTAGGTACTCGACTACTCGTGCAAATTGCAGTTTAAAATATCTGCGCATCACACTGCAAATTACTGTATTTTACGCGTTTACATTGCTTATCGTATTTTGCGTATTCTGCATAGCGTATTTACGTTGTATGGTACGTACTTAATTTGCAACTGCCTATTATTATAATTAACGAGGGAGATACCCGAACACGTCCGCGTCAGATCAGCATACACTTGGTACCATCAGAATCCTTAGAATTTCTCGAAAATCAAAACACCCCCAGATAAAGAACTCGAGTTTAGGGATCCCTGAGAAGCCAACACAGATATGATGGCTGATTTCCATCGAAACGTCAGCAGACGCCATACAGAGCTATACGGCGCGGCTGTACGGATGCGAGATTGCGCAACCGTCTTTCAGCGAGAAGTTAAATAGCGCTTTATCGATAGCTATCGCAGTTTTTTAACTCATTAAGCGCAGCAGCATCGACTAGCTGCATAGAGATCAATGCAACCGCGGATGCTGTGCGCGCGATAGGGCAAAATAGGTGAGACAGCCGTCAACAAAACCAATACAGAATCAACAGATTGCAGCCAGACTATGCGTAACGCATGGCGTATCTAGGCTGGACAATGCGTATGGCAGCTGCTGACGTTTCGATGGAAGTCAGCCATCATATCTACGCTGGCTTCTCAGAGATCCCTAAACTCGAGTTCTTTATCTGGGGGTTGTGAGACCGGGATCACTAGCGTTCACGTCAGTGGCGCTACGCCTGTGGCGCTACCCCTTAGGATTACGTGTCTGTGTTGTGTCTCTTCTGATTGGCTTGAGTTGTGTTAGTGGGCGCGGCATAGCACGTGCTGCACAGTGTTACACACTGTTGAATGGGCTCCACGCTTTACGATCGAGCTGCGCCGATCAGTGTTGATTTTCTGTTGTCGGAATATTCAATATTATTAAAAGTCAGCGATTACGGTGCAACGTTTTGTGTTTCCGCATAGCTCGCAATCCAGATCGTATTGCTCACTCCACGGGATAGATTCCGTTTCTGTCTCCGTCCCTGGATCCATTCTGGATCTAGCTTTAGATGGTAGCAGAGCCGACAGCGGTTCTCTGATTTGAATTGATTTGTTTCAGGCAAAGTTGGCCTGTTATTTGATGTGGAAACCCGACCAGTAAGGCACAGGTCTGTACGGACAGCAAAGCGCACACCACAAGCGGTGAACTGCCTCATTTGACGTGGATTTCCAGCTTCGGTTTTCGGTACGGTATCTTCAGCGAAGAACCGTGCTGTTTCCTTAGCTGTGCAAGAGTTCAAGAGTTCAGTCGACAGTGTTCCTCGGTGTGGAGTCTTCAGCGAAGACCCACACTGGTGTCACTGTTACTCGGCAAGGCTTCAGCGAAGCCTAAGCCGTGGGCCACAAGCGGCGAAGCGCTAAAAGGGGCGCACGGAAAAGACCCGATCAGACTCCTCCAAACTGGAGTAGAGCACCACTACTGTTGCTACGGTAGTCAGCCGGCACAGTAGCATACAAAAAGCGGGCGGCACAACCGCTACGGAAAAGCGGCAGCGCGGGAACGGACGGTGGAGAAGAATTGGATCATCTGGATCACTTTCCCGTGGAACGGACGGTTAACAGGTAGAAAAACCGTTATTAATTACGGGATTGGCTAGTTGGTAAAATTAGCAATTTTCATTGGTCCGTACTGAGCTGAGCGTAGAAGTAGGCGGAGTTTTGCACACGGCGCGCATGTCTGGCCGTTGACCGTGACGTCAGGCAGATATAAATTTTAAGAGGAGTAACGTGATTGGTCAGTTATTTGAGCTGTGATTGGTCGAAATTTGAACTGAATAATTTGAGCTAGCGGACCAATAGGAACGAAGTAAACAACGTAAATGGGTATTTTCCGTTGAACTTGAACTGTAATGGGAAATTTGATCTGAGATGAGATAATTGAGACGGAAAATGACCTTTTGAGTTTAGACAAAGGAAAAGTGACCTTTGATTGAATTAAGCTAGAAAGTGACCTTTAACTTGAATTGAGCCAAAAAGAGACCTTTTGACAGAAATCGAGTTGGAAAGTGACCTTTTGAGTTGAGTTGAATCGGAAAGTGACCTTTAGGACCAGAACGTGACCTTTGACTTTGAAAAGTGACCTTTACTGAAAAGCTGGAATTGACCAAATTGACCTATTTAAGTGACCTTTATGATCTGAAACTGAACGGTGACCCTTATCGAAGTGAAATTGAACTGAATAGTGGTACAGCGATATCAGCAGATGTAGGATTTCATTCGCAAACGTGTTTCAAACAGTAAAAGCTGTTTCGAAATTTTGTCCGAAAGTAACCTTTTAGGGCAAATCTCTCGAACTTTTTATCAAAAAAGTGACCTTTAAACAGGACTCCGTCGAAATTTTTCAGTCGAAAAGTGAACTTTAATAAGGACTTAGAAAAATTTCGGAAGTACAAAGTGACCTTTAGGACAATTGAATAAACCATACAATAACGTTTGTGTGAGAACAATTGGCAGGAGCGTCCAAGTTATCCGATCAACATGGACAAAGACAAAGAAGAACCGACATCCAACAGCAGTCAGGGAAGCAAAAGCTCCCGCAGCTCACAGCAAAGCGCACCGAACCCGTACAAAAAGGACTTGCACACATACTCACGTCCAGTTGGACATGAGCGGAACACTCGAGCGCCCAAGGCATTCGAGAAGAAGGATTCACGAGGCTCTGATAGCACTTATCAGAAGGCGCTCGAGGCGGTCGCCGATCAGGAAAGCTCCAGAGACGACCAGAAGCACACTCCCACATTCATGGCGGGAAGTGATCTGATGAACCAGATAAAGGTCACCGGGGAGGAGAAGTCCACAGAAACAGGAGCGGAAGCAACGGGGGCATCACAGCTGGATGCTACCATCAGCGGAACGAACGAGCAGGATAAAAATGCGAACCTGACTCAATCGGAAATGGAAAAGACAAAGGTCACCGAAGAGGAACTGGCCGAACTGGGATTGGATGACCTTTCACTGAACGATAAGACCGCAGACGATGACCTTTTTGCAACTCCAATGGTCTCAGATGAATCCAACGAGTCATACTTCACAGATGATGACGCAACGATGAACATGTCCTTTCAAACTGCAATGAAAGAGGCTGACCGAGCAGAAGAAGTGACCCCGTTTAAGGATATCCCCGAACATTTAATTGACCGGACACAGAATGGAAAGGTTATCAATGTACGACCACAGTCACCAAACAGTCCTACGTTAACTCTGAGGAGACGCGTAAGGGAGCTGGAGAATGAACTTGAGGCCACTGAACGTCAAGCGGACAAGCGGAAACAGGAGTATCGAGATAGATTATCGACACTCGAAACTCGCTTATTCGAATTGGAACAGCAACAGGGTGACCTCCAGAGCTCCGCAGACGGTTGGAAAGTCAAATATGAGCGACAAAAGGAAATTGCAGAAGAGTACCTAAAGATGGCAGATGACAGAGAAATGGAAGGTCATCTCGCTGTCAGCGACCTCAATGAAAGCATGTCGGAAGAGTCAGCGGAAAGGTCACGGCACTTAGCCGAATTGAAGGACGAATGTGACCAGTTACGCCAAAAGGTCATCGAAGCGGAGGCAAAGCGGGACGAGTATGCGGCTAACTTTGCGGGGGTCACACAACGATTGACAACGCTAGCAACAGAGACCTTCAAACTCAGAAACGATTTGAAGCTACGAGACGAAGCCTTCAGCACTCTGCAAAGCGAGTCAAAAGGTCATCAGGAACGTGCAGATGAAGCCGAAAGATTACGTAATGAAGCGATTAAAGCGAAACGTGATGTAAGAGACCTTATGGCATCGGAAGGAGAAAAGTGGAAGGAAGAGATTAAAAAGGTGAACGATGAAAATGAAAAGGTCACCGCAGACGTTCAAAGGGTCACAAAGGAAGGGCTTAAGTGGCAAAAAGAAGCACGGCGACTGGATACAATGGTCACAACACTGGAGCTGAAGGATAAAGAATGGCAACAACAAGTCGCTCAGAAGAACCAAGAAGTCACAAGGCTGAACGCTGAATTGCTCGAGATGACCACTACAGCACTGGCGAAGGACGACGAGTTGATTGCAATTAAGGATCAGGTGAGATCAGCCGCTGGACAATATCAGCAACTTGAAAGGGAAACAACTGAGCTGGTCGAACACATCAAAAAGATGGAACGGGAAAATGAAAAGGTCACCCAGTAGGAATCCTTTAAATTGCAGGAACACTTACGAAAGGTCAACTTGGAAAATTCGGACTTAAAGAGAGAAAGGGAAGAACTTCATTTGAGAACTAAACGATTGGAAGACGAGAACAAGGCGCTCCAGACGTCTAACAAACACAAAGATGAACAACTCCTACAATACGGAGTTAAAACGGCAACAGTGGAGTCCCCTCCGCCCAGTTACAGCAAGGCGCATGAAACGGGCACGGGCAAAAGTTTCCACTTTGAAATGCCACTACGAACTGGTACCGGTAAAGGAAGCGTAAAAGCGGAACGAGAAGGTGAAAAGGGCAAAGAAGACAAAGAGCCACCTTCGGAAAGTTACCCGCATATGAGTCGAGGTGACCCTTCACAATTTCCCTCGCACTTTGAAACAAACGTGTTCATTGATGAAGGGCGACGAGACAGACCCTCCAGCCGGCAGGAGCGCCCTAGGAAATCCCGTTATGGAAAGGCGAGACGAAATCAAAGTGATGACGGAAGTAGCGAAGAACATGATGACCAGAGAGCAGAAAATACAGCGGTGCAATTGACAAAAGCACTCAACTCGATGGCCAGGAAAACGCCACTTATGACCTTTGACGGCAGTCGTGACACAGTGAGTGGGTGGACACGATTGGTGAAAGAAACCCAAAGGACTTATCAGTTGACGGGCGACCAAATCATGATTGAGATAGCCAGCGCAGTGAAAGGTCCTGCAAAAACATGGTTTGAAGGAGAAAAGGACATCGCAGCAGAAGATGGAATCGAATACTCAATAACCGAATGGATGGACAAATTTAAAGATGAATACGGTGACCGAGATGAAGAAGTCCTAGGCTTACGTGAGGCCTATGCAAGGAAATTTGAACTCGGAAAAGAATCGCTTGACCAATACTATCAAGCGATGATGCGGTTTAAGGCAAAGAGAATCATTACTGAGAAACAGGCCGTGGGCTTCTTAATCAAAGGATGTAGAGTCGACAATGAGCTCTACAAAGCCCTGCGCATACAAAAGTGCAAGACGCCAACGGACGTGAAGGATTTCTTTCGACATTGGGCCACCGGCGAAGAGAAATATAAGGCACCTAAAGGTCAACGTAACCAGGAATACGTGACCATCCGCCAAGGCCAAGTCGAAAATGTGCCGCAACAGAGAATGGCAGCTGCACCAGTTCAGCAACCAGCTGAATACCGAGTGGAGACTCCGGTTAGAGAGGTCACGGAAAAAGTGACCTTTATCGACAGTCAGACGGGGCAACCGATAACGTACGCAATGGTAGCGGCGATACAAGCGGCAGCTCAAGTGAGACCGGTACCTCAGAATGTGGCTCCACCGGCACCACAGAATATGGCCCCTATGAATGTCGTGTTACCACAACAAGGGGGGGGTAACGGAAATTTCGGTGGAAATGGATACGGTAATGGAAACTGGAATGGAAGCTTTCAGAATCAAGGGCAAGGTCAAGGCAACTTTCAGCCAAACAGATGAAACCAGAACTATCAGCGGAATCAAGGGTCACGAACAGAGTTCAAGTTCCAGATGATCGACGGATGGGTGGCGAACAACGTACAGATGTGCCAATACTGTATGTATGGCAACCACCAGACACAAGGATGCAAATTCGCCAACACACCACCGGAACTGAACCCGAATCTGTTTGCCTTCAGAGAGTGGCAACGTCTTCGCGCAACGGGCGGATGGCAGCAAGCGGTGGCTAACGGATATGACTTGATTACACAATGGTATCAGGCGAAAGCGAACTTCCAGAATCAGCAAGGAAATGGAAACGGTAACTATGGAAATGGAAATGGCGGCGGCCAGAACGGTGGCTACGGCCGTGGTGGCTTTGGCCGCGGTGGCTTCAGAGGAAGGGGCAGAGGCTTCGGCCGCGGAAATTTCAGAGGAGGCCAGAACAATGGAGGCGGCCAAGGAAACTACCAACAGGGTGGTGGCCAATACAATAACGGCAATGGACAAAACCCTAACCCGGCAAATGATATTGGGCAACAACAAGGAAATGTGCAGGGCGCGCAACAGGGAGGGGCGCCGGTTCAGGGAAACGGGCAAGATCAGTAGGCACCGGTGAGCCTACTGATCGACCCGACCCTAAATCACCAGATAAAAGGGAAAGGTCACCACTGCAGAATGGTACTGCAGTGAATGTGACCACTGCAACGGCTATAAGGATGCCGTCAGCGCAAAACGGAACGGCTATATGGATGCCGTCATCGCAAAAAGAAATTGGAGCGGTTATAAGGATACCGCCACAGAATCAAAGGTCACCGCAGAATGGTACTGCGAGTGGAAACGTTTAAGCGGATAAATGGTCACCGCAGAATGGTACTGCGAGTGGAAACGCGCAACGGGACCAAAGGTCACCGCAGAACGGTACTGCGAGTGGAAATTGTCGTGACGGTAGCGCGACACTGCAAAAAGTGCAGCAAAATGAAAGGTCACCGTACTGCAGCGAAGAAGTGTTAGCGCAACGACGCGCACAACGGAACGCAAAGATTAAACAGGCGTTGCTGAATCAGAAGAAACCGCAGAACGATACTGCGCAAGAGGAAAATGAGCAACATGCGAAATTCCGGAAATACTTGGCAGAAAATGATAAAGCGAATGAACCAGGTTGCGACTGTTATGGAGAGATAAAGCCAAAGTTCTGGAATTGTTCAGAGGACGAAGAAGAGAAGTTGATAAGGCAAAAATGGATGGAGCAGAATATCACTAACAGTAAAGACGAAAGGTCACCTTCTGTTGGAAAGGTCCAAGTGAAAGGTCAAGGAGTGAGTGTGAATGTTAAAGGTCACGACGATAGCGTCGTGTTGAAAGGTCAAGAAACAGACTTGACACTGCGAACAGCGCAGCAAAAGAATAGCGAAACGGCACAACAGAACTCCGAAGACTCACTTGTGGATGCAGTAACACTGCAGCAGAAGGAAAGGTGGCAAAAAGTGGCCTACAGACCAAATGAGAATCACGGGATGTGGATACCTGTGACGCCGAAAGCAAAGCTGAAAGCGAGAATGTCACAAGAGGACTACTGGGACATGCAACAGTTGCGAACGCAATGTGAAAGAAAGCGACTGGAAGAGTTGGTTACCGGGAAACCAGCGCAAAAGTCACCGAACACAGTCCCAGTATTTGACCCAGCTGAATATAAGAAGACATTCGCTGACGCGAATTATCGACAAAATGCACCGCCAGAGGATGAACCGCCGAATTATGGAGAAAAAGTCCCCATACAAAAGCTGACAGGTGGCGGATTTGTCATGAAGCGCAACGAAAGGTCACAGGACTTAGCGCAAAATGAACAAAAAGGACGGTCAAATGAGATGGCGCAAACGCAACAGAGTAACGCAGTCGAAAGGTCACGGGACTTATCACAAGCACTGCAAAAGGATGCAAATGACAAGTCACCAGCCCGAACAGACGGGATGTCTTCGCAAGTTGACCCAACGAAAACGAATAATGAAGTATCTGCAAAAGTGATGCAATGGATGACCGAAAAAGGATATGACACGGTTACATACGAAAGGTCACCAGATGAGATGAAAGACAGTGAAGCAGACGAACTGAAGCAAGCCGACCAAATAACAAGCGAAGTCATCGAGAAGTTGCGAGATAAGCGAAATGAAAACCGTAAAGAGGAACTGATTCATCAGACGATAAATGAAGTGACTAAAGGTCACGCGGATAGCACAAAAGCAAATGAGCAAGTGCAGAATGTTAGAAAGGTCACCAGTGGTAAAACGGCCACGGAGAAACAAGTTGACAGGACAAAGCCGCGAAAATAATACGATGTTTGAACTGACGTTCCACACAGGATTGATAAGCTGAGCGAAATATTGAAAGGTCACAGCACTCCAGCTAAAGGACAAGTGTTTCCCGATATGGATCCGGGACCAGTATCGCTCATTCCTGTGAAATGTAAGATTCACACCTTGAAGATTCAAAACGGAAAATTGCCCAAGAGAATTGAAGCATACACTCACGAAGTGAAAGTGGGAGACATAAAGGTCAACGCAATGTTGGACACCGGCGCTGAGACGTCGCTAATCAGCAAACCGTTTTGCGAGAAGAATGGACTTCATATGCTCCCACTACCACCAGACAGGCTGGTGCGAATAAATGGAATTAGTGGAACGTCAGGTTTCATGGTGACACACTACTGTGTAGCACCAGTGACCTTAAGGAAAAAGACCAGCGAACATTCCTTCTACGTCCGACCGAAGTGTGACGACGTACAGGTGTTATTGGGATTCGACTTCTTAGAGAAGAAGTTCGTACTAATGGATAATGAAGGCGAAGAAGAAAAAGAAGATGACCCCAAACCAGTCGCCAAGGTTCAAGTCGGAAAGGTCACCGAACTCGTAAAACAGGCGGGAAATGCTCAAACAGTTAATAAAACGCTAATCCCAGTACCAGAGGCACCGGGAAACGAAAAGAAAGAGATGGCGCAAAAAGAATTGTCAACATTTGAGCAGTTGAAAGTGATCCAACAGGAGATTGAAAATACATTAAACCGGACAATGCTGCCACAAGAGGGAAGAGAAAAGGTCATCCCAGTACCACAGGCACCGGGAATGACGAGAGTGCAGCAGAACGAGATTAGCCAACGGATAATCCCGGTACCAGAGGCACCGGAGAAGAAAAGTGAAAGTGGAAAGGTCAAAGAAGTTAACGAAAAGAAAAAGGAACCGCTTGCGCCGGATATGGATGAGGCGATCATATTTCTCCCGGACGGGAGAAGTATGATCGCAGATGACTGTAAGCAAGGAGACACAGAAAAAGAAGGTGTTGAAAAAGCTATCCCAGTACCAGAGGCACTGGAAATAAAGACGGCTAAAGTGGGGAAGGATAAAAAGAGTGAAAGGTTACGGGTTTTGAAACGAATAGCTGAAGAGGAACAGATGTTTACAAGCGAAATCCGCAACAAGGCACTCGAACAATTGAAAGGTCACCGAACAGAAAAAGAACCAGAGGTCACCGAAATATCCTCGGAGGATAAAAGCGTGACCCCAGTCGAATGTGAACAAGAAGCCACAGCACGGGAAGATGTTAATCCGCAAACGAGTCAAAGGATATTAACTCCAGAAGAACGAGCCAGGAGTTGTCACCACGGTTACTTTGAGGATCCGTGTAGAATACAACCTCAATGGGAATGTGCTGAATGTCGTGAAAATGCCTCCCAAGATGACCTTTCAGAATGGCCGAAATGTAATGCCGCATTAGCAGACCTCAAAGGTCATGCCCAAAAGGAAGTAAAAAGTATCATGCGGACAAACGAAATGTGGTAGCCACATATTGAGCGTTATCACTGTAACAGATACCGGACCTGGTTGTCATGCGTGAAGAGCTTCATTATCGGGAAAGGAAGATGGCTAAACCATTGGTTGCAACGTGTCGAGAAAGGAATCCAAGATCCTCTCGATCCGGTAGCAACAGAAAGGAGATTTGAACGAGAGATAGAAGAGATGACCGAAGAAGGAGAAATGTGGGAAGAAGCGAGAGTTGACCTTTTCTGGGACTTCCGTGTGAACCACATGTATAAAGGTGAAGGGAGAACGATCATCTTCCCGGCAGGACTTGGTACACCTGTCTACGAATCACTTGAAGTGTACTACAACGCGTTAAAAGAGGGAAACGAAAAAGCATTCGAAAAATATTGGAATAAATTTGAAGAGGAAATCCCCAGATTTGATGTAAAAGAGATGCGAGAATTACAGGTTACCCGGAAAAGAAGGTTACCGGGATTAATGCAAAAGAAAAAGGTGACCTTTGCACCAGATCCAGATGGAGTGGACTACCCAGAACGAGGTGGCGACACGTGGTGTATGTATGAAACGATTCCAAATGATGAATGGGTTACCGAAGAATTGATGGCAAACTGCATCTTTGTTGGTCCCAAACGACCTAAAAGTTACGAAACAGTCCAACAGAATGAAGCTGACAAGGGACCCGTAAAAGAAGCGGAAAAAGAGGAACCAGTTGAAGAGATAGTCGAAGGAGGATCGAACGAAACGGAAGAAAGTTCAAAGTCGGCTTTCGACATCGCACGGATGTTAACGGACAGAGGAGAAATGTGGAAGAAGTTCAAAGAAGAAGTTGAGAGGATATCGAATGAACAACAAAACCCAGTAACGGAGGCAAAAAACGGGGAAAGGTCACTCGATAACGGTGAGGAATGTCCGCCGGTCGAGTTGACCGAAAAGCCGTTAACGAGCCCCGAAGAAATAAATGAACTGGAAAAGTCAAAATCGGACGAAGAGAGGTCAAACTCCGATCAATCAGAAAGGTCACCAACGAGAATTCGGGTAGCAAGGAGTCACCCAAGAGTCGCCGCACGAAATGGGCGAAAGGCAAAAGAAGGGGACAAACCTCTGCTCAAAAATTCGAAAGCGAAAAAACTTAGCGATTCGCGGGAAAACGAAAATGACCTTTCATCAGAAGACGAAGGAGTTGATGAGCGCCCAATTGAAAAAGTTGACAAAGGTCAAGTTACTGCACAAGAATATGAGAGCAGTAACTCCGACTCCGAGTGGACGAGTTCAAGTGATAACTCAACGACTTCGGAAGATTCACGTGTAAGTGACCTTTCAGAACAAGAAGATTTAATGGACTTGGATGAAGATGACGAAGTAGATGAGGAAAAAGAAAAGGATATTAAAGTCAGAAGATTGAAAGTGGAAAAGGCTAGGATGTCGAAAGACGTGATCAAAGTCCTCAGTGACCAAAGAATCAAATTGAAACCGTCCAATTGCACGCGCGTAAAGGTCAAGATGGGAAAATACGCACCGGCCCAAAACAAGTTGATGTTTACACCGGTCCCACAAGTGGAAACGGAAGTGCAACCATTGGCAGGAGTAACGGACCACAGAGGAAAGTACTTTGAAATCGTCATTGCGAATCATAGTAGCAAATACCGGATCGTGAAGAAAAATCAGCTTCTCGGCTATGTTGAGCCGTATGAACATATGGAGAATGTAAAGGTCAACGCTGGCACAGTGAAGAATATGCTCGATGATCCTGAGGTGGACGATACAACGAAAGCCGAGTTGAAAAAGATAATCGAAAACTTGAAATTGGGACCTGATCTTACCCAAGAACAAAAGAACGACGTGTACAACGCGTTCTGGGAATTCTGGAAGGTCCTACCGACATCAAAGAAACCGTACGGAGATGTTAAAGGGGTCACTCACGTAATTGATACGGGAGATGCGAAGCCAGTTAAATGTAACCCGGCCAGAACGAGTTGGACAGGCCGCGAGTTTATAACGAAACATATCGAAGAGATGTTGGCACAAGATGTAATTGAACCGTCAGACGCCGAGTGGAGTTTCCCAGTCGTATTGGCAGTAAAGAAAAATGGCGACGGAACAATGGGAACAAGATTTTGCGTCAATTACATCATGCTTAACAAGCTAACGAGAAAGAATAATTACCCGCTACCAAATCCGAATGAGTTGCTCGACGCGTGCGCAGGCAACAAATATTACGGAAAAATGGATTTACAAAGTGGATTTTGGCAGATCCCAATGGATCCAGCGTCAATCAACAAGACGACCTTTGTTACGCAAGATGGAATGTACCGATTTAAAAGAATGCCATTTGGCGTATGCAACGGACCAGCAACATTTCAATTGTATATGGATAAAGTACTCTCGAAAGCGAAAAGAAAAGGATGCGTTTTCGGGTACATTGATGACGTTATTTTCGCTGGAAAAACTTGGGAAATTTTCATGCAGAATTTGAGAAATGTCCTGATGAGCCTAGTTGAAGCGGGATTTACGATTAAGCCAACGAAATGCGAATTCGGAATGAGACAAATGGGATTCCTGGGTCACATACTCAGCGAAGTTGGAATCAGAATGGACCCGGAAAAGGTCACCGCGGTCTCCGAGTTCAAACGGCCTCAGACTGAAAGACAATTAAGGTCATTCCTTGGACTGGCGAACTATTACCGCAAATTCATAATGGGATATGCACAGAAGACTTCCCACTTATATGAACTGCTGAGACAAGATAAGCACGTGAAAGAGGACTGGACAGCAGTTTATGAGGAAGAGTTCAATAGCTTGAAAAAGTTGTTGTGTGAAGGTCCAGTATTGGCAAAGTTTGACCCCGCAAAACCGACCGTCATTAAATGCGACGCGAGCAAAGAAGGAATCGGAGCCGTACTGTCACAAGATGGACATACGATCGCGTACGCCAGTCGTGTCCTACATGGAGCGGAGAAAAATTACGGTGTAACGGAATGGGAATGTCTGGCAGTAGTGTTCGCTGTCAGGAAATTTAAGCCGTATATCGATTACGCAGAATTCACCGTAAGGACGGATCATCAGGCGCTGACCAATTTGCTAAGGTCAGAGACGAATAAAGTCGGAATGAACCCGCGCTTGACAAGATGGGCAATGGCATTACAAGGTCATCAATTTAAAATCGAATACAAACCAGGAAAATATTGTGACAACGCAGACGCGTTATCAAGAGCACCAATTGAAGGTCCGACGTGTCAGGAGGAGGAATTTGATGAGATCCCAAACTTCGAGGATTATAAGAAGGAATTTGACACGAAAGAACCAGCAATCGAAATCGGACAGCTGTTCCTGCAGATGGTGGAACAGAGAGAGAAGCGGTTGAAGGTCACTTCAGCTACGGCGAATGAGTCGGCTGAAAACGAAGCAAAAGTGAACCGGGTGAAAAGTTGGTTGCCCACCGTCAGTGACTTAAAGGTCACCGGACTTGACACGGAATCTAAAATGCAGAATGGAAAGGTCACTGGACTCGATGAAACAGCGGAGAATAGAGATGACCTTTGGGAAACGGACAAAGTTACACAAGCGTTAAACGAGTGTCCGATTAAGTTGCTGAGATTCCCAAAACAGATGAAAAAAAGGTTTAAACCGTTACCACGTTGCAAGGTCATCAAAGACTGGAATGAACTCAGTACGGCGACAGTCCGCATTGTTAACCTGCAAGGTGACGAAGAAGAAGAGGATGATTCGAATCTGCAGCTACGGAATAAACAACTGAAGGATCCTCATCTGGCGATGATTATAGACGAATTGGAACATCTACCAGACGCGGAAACAAGATCGAAATTCGAAGTACATTACCAGTTGTGGAACGGCATATTGTACCGAGTAAAAGATAAGAATGGGAAACTTGAAAGGTCATATGTCGTACCGTTGTCAATGCGAAGAGCGATTATCCACGCATTGCACGACGAGAAAGCGGCAGGACATCTGGGATTCGAAAAGACATTATCTGCAATCCGACTACGATATTACTGGGACAGAATGAGCACCGATGTGAAGAATTACATTCTTGCGTGCAATGGTTGCCAGTTCCGCAAAACACCGAGGAAATGCCCACCCGGTAAATTGCAAGAGATAAAGGTCGGACATCCGTTCTTCCGAGTGTACGCTGATCTGAAAGGACCGCTGTTACCGACGAAGAAACGTGGATACAAGTACATAGCGGTATTTATCGACCAACTGACGAAATACGTGATCGCGGTACCGATGAAAACAGCAACGGCTAAAGAATTCGCTAAAGTGTTCGTGAAGCACGTGATATTGGTACACGGAGCACCGCACATCCTACATACGGATCGCGGACGACACTTTACAGCGGAAGTATTGGCAAAGGTCACCAATGTGTTTAAGATTAAACACACATTCGGAACGGCATATCACCCAGAAGGTCAAGGCCAAGTTGAAAGGCAGATGCAGACGATTGCGGATGGCTTGGCACAATATCTGAAGGCGGGAAATGAGCGAAAATTTAACAAGTATCTCCCATATGTTATTTCGGCGATGAACAGAGTCGTGCACGCTACAACGGGATATTCAGCATATTATATGCTAAACGGCAGAGAAATGACAATGCCGGAAGATGTGGTTACGAGAACGAATATACCCGATGATTATGGAACTCCAGACGAATGGGTTGAGACCATGAAAAAGAACTTGACCTTTGCTGAAGAAGTGGCGAGATGTAACATTAAAGATGCTTATGAGAAGAATGCGGAAATTTACAATAAGAAGAAGTCGGAACCGAACTTCAAAGTGGGAGATTTCGTACTGATACGATTACCAAAGGACACGAAACAAGGGAAGAAAGAAAACCAGTCGGACTTTAAGTCGAAATACGATAAAGTGTGGAAGATTCTGAGTTTCCCGCGAACAAACGAAGCTGAGGTCATTGAGCAGAACCCTAAGAAGGAAGCAGACTTAAAGGTGGTCTCGATCGACCGATTAAAGCTGTGGCATCCGCCATTACCTGAGGAGAAAGATTCGCAAAAAGTATCAGAGCGTACCTCGAATTTTTTCGAACCACCTCTGCTACCTGAAGTAGAACAAGGAACAGAGCGTACTCAAAAAGACTCGGCAGAATCTTTTTTCGAACCACCTCTGCTTCCCGAAACGGAGAAAGCTAACGGAAAAGAAAATGAATCAGAGCGTAGTCCGAAAAATGCTCAGTCACACAACAAAAGCCATTTTTCGAACCACGCACTCTGCTACCTGATATGAGTGGAGATAAACCGAGGAAGAAGAGAGGAAGACCCAGGAAAGAAGACAAAGATTTCGAGACAGCAGTTACAAAAAAGTTGAACGCAGAAGCTGGAAATTTGGCAGAAAGGTCACCAGCCACCGGAGAAGAAATCGAAGTAGCAGAACGCGCTTCGCAAAAGGATTTTGAACCTAATCAAAAGCCTTTTTTCGAACCACGCACTGCTACCGGAGATAAGAATGACCTTTCGAAAGGGCGAACTGGCGCTGAGATATCAGAGTGCGATTCGAATTCTTTCGAACCACGCACTGCTACCGGCAATGAGAACGACCTCATAAGAAAGAGAAAAGAGGAAATAGAGGCGGTCAAATCAAAAGCTGAACAATTGGGCCGCGATATAGCGAAAGCAATTAATGAGCGAAAGGTCAAGGAGAACAAGAAGAAACCAACTCCTACGGAACTGCTAACCCAAAAGGCGAACCTGTGGACGCAGCCGAGCAAGACCTTCTTGATCGGATAACTAAAGGACGCGAAAACAAATAACCCACACAAATACGACTAAGGAGATTTATGACAATAAAAATAGGAGTTGGGAAGGTGTAAATGAAAGGTCATCACCGCGCAAAAAGTTAGTCAAAATTGTTTCATTGTTAAAGAAGGTAAGCTCAGTTTATGGACAGATTGGAACGACAGAATTCAGATAATTCCGATTCGGAAAGTATTGGAAACCCACTAAAAACATCGACACCAATAAGAATGGAAGGGGAATACGGTTACGACACCTCATACGGGGAAGGATCGACGTCGTCAGCGGGAACGGCTCAGAATGAACCCGGAACAGTTCAAGGCGGTTACTACGGCGGCCAGGGGTATTACGTGTATCACGATCCAGGACAACAGATGAATTACCAGGACACGGTTAGCTGGGTGCACCACGGCTCACCTGCCGGAACCCAGTATTCGGGACAAGCAACGGGCGCCCCCTACCAACCGTACCCGGGATCGTATACCCCACCGGCGGGACCCTCACAGGTGATAATGGGACCGGCAAGAATGTTGATGCCGCCACCGCAACAGACTACACCGAGTCGATTTACGGGACAGGGAGGATTCGGCGGAATGATGGTAACTCCAGCGCGATCACAAAGGTCATCCCCGATATTACTGCCTTTTCCGGAGACGGGAGGCTTGTCACTGTCGGACATCGGAGCGCCTCGCATGAGAACACCGCAGCAACTGGGAGCGCAGCGTCCTCATCGTAATTCGCCACACAGAGGAGGAAGGCGACCGAGAGGCATTCTACCATCACTGGGTCCCAACCTGGATTAGACTGGACCAGATGGATTACGACTTACGCCCCCAGGCGAACCCTCAATACATGAATACGCACCGAAACTCCGTTTGGATTTGAGAGACGATGACCCGAACTTGAATTTAATAGTGGATAAGAAGGAAAAACTGACGGAAACCGACTTAGAAGCCATTCGCGACTTCAATCGGAAATGCCGTGACCTTTATAGAATCCACATGCGAGTTGAAGACGAACACGCATGGTATGGGAAGTTAATCAGCCTGGAAGCTGTTATCAAACCATGCCACATTGCCATGAAAGATAAAACGAAACAGGTTGAAGCAAAGCGCAAGGAATACGCAATACAAGTTGCATCGATGGTGCAATATCATCCGACGATAAAAGGTAGAAGGTGGCCGGAGACTGTCGAAAAGATCCTTAGATATCTCAAGGTGTTCCCAGAAACAAGACCGACTACCAGCGTCGCGGGACCATCCAAAACAATAGCTGAAAAGGACGCCCCGGTCGATGAAATGACGGACGAGGACCTGTTGGCAACAAAGAAGAAAATCGATGCTGAATTAACTGAACGAGCAGAAAGGTCACGGGCCAGCTCGACCGCAGGATTAGTACGTGGACGCACTAGTTCGGTTACAGAACCATCTAGCGGAGCCACGAAGAGTGGAAAAAGAGTAAGGTCACCAACGATAAGCCCAAAAGATACTGACAAGAAAGGGCAGCGAACGAAGAAGGCCACGTCAGGTAAAGCAACACCAGCTGAGCCGGCAAAGCCACAAGGCCCAGTCCCAGTGTTTAGTGGATTTGAGTCTATTGGATGTGCCGCTGGATACGACTGATCCAATTGGGATGACACAATTTTATTACACAGATTATCCCGAACGACAAGAATATGTGGCTTAGTACGTTTTACGACATGTGAACCCAGCCTTCAAGTTGCTTGCAGCAAGAGCATCGATAGGACTACAGGTGGATCCTAAGGACTATGCCGCAAAAAGGATGGGGCAAAAGGTCTTTGCCGCGAGACTGGCACATTACAAGACACAGAATCAATTGGTGTCTAATACTATGAAGGACGACATTCCACCGTTCTTCCGAGCTCATGTCGCTAAATTGGGACAACCGATGGAACATATCAGCATAGCGCACACAGCTCGAAAGGCGCTGAAAAAGTGTACGACACGAATGGAAAAGGCAACTTGATACAGCGCCATGCCTCCCAAGTCGAAGAAAGGGTCAACAAGATCAAAGATTCCCTGGGAAGTGACTACGTCGAACCAGTGGACGGAGTTGAAACGTACATCGACGAATTCCTGGTGAAGAAAAGCGACCGGCGCCCGGAACGCGCTCCTAACCAGATGGGACGACGTGGTATACGGAACCAGCAGCTTCGGGATAATCTCGCTGATGTGCAACGTCGATTGGCCAATGACCCTAATAACCGGAAATTACGACTGGAAGAAAATGACGCACGTCATCGACTTGAGGCGGTCAAGCGGAGCCGTCAAGGAAAAAGTCGTGGCCAGCGAGAAGTTGACCCGTCAAAGGTCATGGAAGTTGATTCAACTGAACCAATCGACCGGACATCTGACCGTAATCAACCCGAAAGCGCTAAGAAGCGTCCGCCAAGAGATGGCGAGGGCGATTCAAATGAAATGGAATAGTGTTGATCGTTAGGATCACACTATTGAAAGGACGTCTACGGCATTTTGTCGGTACGTCACAAAGATGAAAAATGGTGTTGTATAAAGGTCGTGACATGTGACATGTTAACATTAACTGTATTTGTGTATTTGTTGTTTGCAGCATTTATAGCACAGAATTGCCTAAAGAAATCATGTGGAATACTATTGGGGTTGAAATTGATTCGGTCTATAAAGCCGGCCCCAAGGGAGTTGCTACGGCAGTTAGCCGGCCCTCCTCTCTAAGCGACTCAGTGTTATAAATGCACAAGAGAAACTACGGTAATCAAGCCGAATCTCTTGGAGACGAAAGTGGGCCACAAGCGGCGAAAAAGAGAAAGACAACAGGTGGAATTTGATGAGGTTAACTTAATGCGGCAACCAGCCGGCCTCATTAGAGTTGTTACGGTAAACTGTGCCGGCACTCTTTTTAAGCGATTCAGTGTCAAAATTAAAACGAGAAAAACTACGGTAACCAAGCCGGATTTCTCGTAGTAATGTTAGCCACAAGCGGCGAACAAGAGTAAAGATTAAATGTGGAAATTTCATGGGGTAAACTCAATGCGGTAACTAGCCGGCCCCATCAGAGATGCTTCGGTAAACTCGCCGGCACTCTGGCCGCTCGAGGCATACTGAAGTTGGATGTGCGACGGAAAGGTCAAACTGCAAGTTTTACCAGGGAGGCAAGCGAAGAAGTGCTTGAAGGCCGCAGAAAATTGGCTAAGTTCCTCCATGACCTATAATGGAAATTTGAAGAGAAGTCGGATGACCCTTGGGACCATTACCGCCCAAGAGAGTCATCGTATCGGAATTCAAGTCGCATGACCTTTGGGACCATTAACCCAAAATGAGTCGCACATCTCAACTGATCATCTCAATAAAGGATGACCTTTACCAGGGAGGAAGCGAACTACGCTTGTCTACATGACGTCCCTCCATGACCTTTATGGATCTTATTTTGAAGTCGTACAATTGATACGCACCTTAGTCCAAAGATGAAGCAGTATTCCTAAGTCGTACTTGATACGCACCTGATTCTCAAGCGGATTGTGATGAAGTCGCATTACGGATGCGCAGGCTTGCTCAACGGAGCGGAATGGATTAAAAGTGCGGAAAACGGTGGACAGGATATGTGACCTTTTCGAGTCAGAAATGGAGGATCCTAGTCTACAATTTGATTAATGCTTTTGTTGATCTGTTACTGTTGATCTGTTCCTAATGATTTGATAGTATTTTTATAATGGGATCTCTTTATTCCACATTGTATTAAATGGAATTGTGCCTTTACGGAATTGATGTGATAAAATGGATTAAGAGGATTTGATGTTTTTGAGCACGCACAGACACTGGCGACCGTCGTCTTCTCGTGGATTCGGGAGTGTGTCCAGCCTCACAGGAGCTCGGCATCCCCCCAGAGGCATGTGAGACCAGGATCACTAGCGTTCACGTCAGTGGCGCTACGCCTGTGGCGCTACGCCTTAGGATTACGTGTCTGTGTTGTGTCTCTTCTGATTGGCTTGAGTTGTGTTAGTGGGCGCGGCATAGCACGTGCTGCACAGTGTTACACACTGTTGAATGGGCTCCACGCTTTACGATCGAGCTGCGCCGATCAGTGTTGATTTTCTGTTGTCGGAATATTCAATATTATTAAAAGTCAGCGATTACGGTGCGACGTTTTGTGTTTCCGCATAGCTCGCAATCCAGATCGTATTGCTCACTCCACGGGATAGATTCCGTTTCTGTCTCCGTCCCTGGATCCATTCTGGATCTAGCTTTAGAGTGATGCATATATAAGCGTTTAACTACAGATCGTGGGCCACAACAGCCATGTTGTGCTTTTCAGAGTCAGAGACAGCATGCAGATTGGTCATGTGTGAGTTACTGACCCGGCCATTTTCCTCTGCATCTGTCATACTTAAATTTTTTTGTGGTATTAGTTTGATAGAGAATTTAAAGCTGCACAACTTTGTTCTCTACATTTTTGCTCTACAACGCAATACGAAGCGTACACAGGCCAAAATGTGCCTGGACATCGCACATTTCCCGTAGACGTCCATGTTATAGAAACTGCTGCAACCCTCTGAAATCGCTCGAAAGAGGCAGACCATATCACACCTCATTAGGGTTCTGCCTGAACCTAATTCTCTCTCGTTCTGAATGCTCTACTTGCGAGACAATGGTAGTGTTAGCGCAGACAACGAACGAGATCTCGGCAAAGCCAGTAGAGTGAGTAGACTAATGGCTTTGGATCTCCGTCGAGCTTGAAAAGGAAATGTATAGGATAGACAGAAATTTAAGAAAATAAAGGCGCCATGAAAATAAAGAGCTTCTTGCTACTACTATAATGTTATTGAAAGGCAAGTACACTTCGTTGTAAGGATATTAGCATTCTGAAGGTGCATGCCCGAGTAGTGCAGTGATCCGTCGTTCGGCTATACAAAGATTGCAGCATCAGGCAATATTTTCGCGGCATATAACGGCATTATCAGTTTCTATCTTTGATTTCGGTAATTTCTAGTTAATTGTAAGCTCTAAATTTTTCTCTTGATGTTTAAATTCTTTGTGGCTGTATAGTGTAATTACGCATATCAAACTTAGTTTTCGCTAAACAGAAGGCACAACTGTGCAAGTATCGGTATAATTTCCTGCTCTGTATATCAATCGAATTTGAATACTGTTCCTCAGCTGTAGCCTGTACATTTTTAAATCACCATGCAAATGTACGAGTACATGTAAAGATTTTGTGTTTCCAGGGTGCGCCTAGGTGTCCATTATGTGCTGGGTCTGGCTGCCGTTCTGGGACGCTGCGGCGTATGCGTGCTTTCTAATTCTGCTATTTGGGCTGGGATTTGCATTTGGTTTCAGAAGTCACCATCAGATGCTCTCGGAAGTAAGGAACTTTGATAAGACGACGTTTACAACCCGACTTCGTTTTTCGATTGAAGGAATATTCGTTTAAATGTGCACAAGCATACTTCTACAGCTAATAACAAAACTAGCTGATTTAATTAAAAATATTTATTTTTCTGGATAGGTTCAGACTTCAGTGGAATAAAGTAGTGGGAGGAGGAGTGGCCTCCCCGTACGCCCGCACTGGTGCGGGTGCTAAGTTTTGCTGTATTTTGATGTTGAATTTCTTCATCTACCAGATCTTCAATCTGGTAGATTCTTCAGTTGCTAGCCATCGTCGTCTGAGTAACTTGCTGGTCATTTAGCCCCGCAGCATTCTGCTGCGGGAGCTTCTGTAGTGTCATATGAATGGGATATAAAGTGTGCAGTTGATTGTCGGGTGTCTTGCGTTTCCGCATAACTCGTAGTATACAACACTGCTCACTCTGCAGGATAGATCCCGTTTCTGTCTCTGTCCGTGGATTCTTCCTAGATCCACCATCATAGTAGATTGAACTGAACTTGTTCAGAGTAAAATTTTATTGTACTGTAAATGCATTTCGACAGGCCAAAAAGCGGGCATGCGCGGATATAACAGCTGTTGCCCGCTTACCACGAGAGCTTTTATCCATCGTCTTCGATCACCTAAACATCGTCGAGCGACGGACCATGTCACGTGTCTGCATGGGATGGAGACTCGTGATCCGTCAGCCCGTGGATTCCACAGCCTGGCACCTCAACTGGGATCACTTATCAGCCATACAGTGCACCTGCACGAACGGGAGCCGTGGCAGTTTCTGGCGGGATGCTTACCACAGCGACAACTTCCACTTTCACATAACACCGGAGGCGGACGAGCATCCGTGGACCGATTTCGTTCCATGGTTTCGGCGGATCGCCCTAAGATACCGTTCCCGATCAAAGCTGTTCTTTTCGACGGTGAAATGGCAAGCGGACGCCAGGATTAACGCTGGGTGGCCGGGACGGGGCGTGGTCAACGATGTGAACTGTTTCTTCGACCTGATGGCGGCCGTATGTCCGGTAGTGAAGCTACGGAATATCCGTCTGGCGTTAACGTATGGGCTCTCATTAAACAGGGCGGTGACGGTGGTGGTACACGTTACGACGGGATGTTTCCAGTCAAATCAGCGTTTTACTGCGGGTGACTGGAGGAGTATGATTAACAACGCGCTGCCTGTAATTCAGCCGGAAGAACGTGGGATTGGGCGCCTGACGGACTGTCTTCGTGACTACGGAAAAATGGCAAAGGAGAAAAATTTTCTGCCTGGCAACAATGCTTCAGTTCTCGAGCTGATCCAAGTTGCTTTACAGGTTTGCGGCTACCTTTTGCACATAGCACTGTATACACTGCTAGCTATAGAAAGCGATAAGAAGTGGAGTAAATGGTTTACAGGCCGAACGAGAATTTTTCCCCATAATCCAAGCCGCAGTATTTTCTAAACCCCCATTAGCTGTGCAATTTGCAAGCTCTTGCACTGTATTGTAGATTATTAACCGCGTCACCCCAAAAGCCGGGTTCTCCAGCCGTAAGATGTGGTGCATCGAAGACCTACTTACCCTGGACCTGCAGAGCCTTGAGCCATTAGCCCTTCATGTACTAAACACCGTCTTCGAAAACCAGATCGAACTAGTTACTGATATTTCGTGGTAGATCGACCCCTTGTCGTGGGAGTAGCATGCGCGACAGTGTAATAATTAAATGATAAATAATTCCGCTCTTCAGTATTTTATGGGACACCAATGTATCATTTTTATACAATGTATACATGTATTGCGGTTCGAAAGCTAATTCGGAGTAATCGAGTCTGATAGATAACGTTGTTGTAATAATTATTTTTTTGGGTAACGCGGTAATTAGTACATGGATTTCTCCTGTAAGTGGCACCTTTGCTTTATCTGTACAGGTCGACGATGACCTTTGTGTATATTTATTGTCCCTATAGCGATCAGGCGAAGCACCCGTATAGCAATGACCTTTTTCAATAAACAATCAAAAGCGTAACGTGTGCATTCACACACGGCAGCGATGCAGCAGAGGAAACAAATAAGCGGTACTAAAGCGAGGGTGAGAGAGATGCCGTTTGCCTTTTACAATAACTTTTTGACAAACTTGAAATACTTCTGTTCCATAAGCTATATGAAAGGTCCAGGTTATAATCGGCTGTCATAATCACTTTTTTAAAAGTTTAGATTAACTTTACATGTGCAAGGCAAACGGCATCTTTTCCCCCTCGCTCAGTACCATTTATCTCTTCCCCGGCTGCATCGCTGCCGTGTGTGAACGCACACGTGACGCTTTTGATTCAGCCTTTTCACAAGAGGCACAGCGCTCTTATCTGTACACTGGATCAGTTGCGTATCTGCTGCAGCCGCAAAACCGGTTTAGATGTGAAATGGCTGAATGCAATGTGTCACGTGTGCGCTCACACACGGCAGCGATGCAGCCGGGGAAAGAGATAAACGGTACTAAGCGAGGGGGAAAGAGATGCCGTTTGCCTTGTACTTCTTTTCTTTACTGGATGGTTATAGTAATTTTCAAATAATTATTTGTTGTGTCCTTGGATAACCTTTTGCAAGCGCTCTTGATGCCAGCTTATGCCAAAAATATCTCACATTTGAAAGATAAGGCATGTGACTGTTTTGCTCTGAACAACGGCACTGGAGGTTCAAGAGGCTTTAACACTGAGCGACTCTGGAAGATGCTTTCTTGTTTACATGGCGGTGTAATATGTACTTAGGTAAATGATACAATAATTTTACGTTTAAAGATCAAGCCTACTCACGACCTTTGCTGGTACTATTTCACGATGCTTTGTTTTTTTCGTGACCGTCTCATTAATGAGCTGTCACCTTGGCTCCCGGGTGGGTCGCTGCTGAAAAGATCTGGCGTCATTGCAGTGACCTCGGTTTCAGCCTAAAGGTCCTGTCTCAACGGCATGTCATGGCATCCGCCCACATCCACACTGGCTAACAACGGGGCTAACTGCTGTCTGCTTTGTTATTGACAGCAGAACATAGCTGCTCTCCTGGGAGATTTGTTGACAACTTACGTCCAGATGCATTGATCCACTGAGTAAGCGTTGGTTGCATAGGGGGCTGCACTTACGATAATTTCTACTGGTGCCTAGAGCAGAAAGCATGTCTTTCTTATCAAAAGAATTGCTAAAGGTGCGTATTGTGTAGTCCTATTCGCAGTTCTACACAATCATGGTACTGCGGATAGTACAGAGTATAGCTATGGCCTATGGGAGTACCTGTAGTGCATGCAGTACTCGTACAAAGATTGTACGAGTATCTCGTGAAATGGATAATGGCCTATGGCTAATGTGCCGTAGCAACGGTATTGTTGTTGTCCGTTATTGTTGCCATGTCTAGTGTTTAGTTGGTTGTTTGCTGCTGTCCCGAGCGGACATAATAAAAGATTATGCCGTTCGTTCAATACATGACAGTACCAATCGTGATTGATGAATGAATAAGCTCGTACCGGTAAGGTTATGAACATACGGCCTAAATTTCAGATATTGCGGTATACTGATTTGCGTCGGTGGTTTATACGTTGTAGCCGTTTTAAATCATCCCTTGTACATGCGAATCTAAACGTATTACCGAAGTATTGATTCACCTTTAACAACAATTTACTTCAGTTTTTAGTGATGGAATTGCCACGACTGTATTAAGCATCTCACCTTTTTAAGTTTTAACCTACGGTAGTAAA